TGACTTTTTATAATTGTTAAATGCAACACTTGACTATTAATTCTTTATTATACAGGCAATGTTTAAAAATTTTAATTACAAAAGTCCTACTGGAAAATTAAATTGTGAACTATGGGTATATTTTATTTTTACGTTGAAGCCTTTGACAACTACTCATATTCATCTTTTAAAACATGTATTGAACTATTAATATCAAAAATATTTAACCATATTTTTTATTCTCTTTAAGAAACATTTATTAATAACAAATATGATAAATAACGATATCAAGTACGCTATCTCGAAAAATCCCATACCGAAGTTGTAATACCCTGATTTGAAAATAAATGGATTGGTGAAAGAAAAAAGCTCAAAAGAATTGATAGTACTACTCATACCAACAAGGTTTACTTTCTTTTCGAGAGCTCATCACTTAGAAACTCCAAAGCTAAGCGTGCTTGACCTGGAGCAGTACGTTTTAGGATGAGTGACCCCCTGAAAATTTCTTGGGCGCGCACACGAGTGAGGACAAAGTGTGTGGAAAATACTTGTGTTAGTTTGTGGGGCCAATCTACAATCCTATGAGCAAAAACTTACGGTCAGGGTGGGGGCCGGGGTGTTACAAATGGTATCATAGCAACCATGCGACCGTGCAGTGACGGGCTAACGAGCTTAGTTCACATAGCGGGGAAGATCTAGGGGTTTGAAAAAAGGATGCAACGAGGACGTTGCGTTCGTAAGTGGGGGTGAATGTAATATCCTGATTTAAAAACAAATGGATTGGTGAAAGAAAAAAGCTCAAAAGGATTGATAGTACCACTCATACCAACAGGGTGGATTTTCTTTTTGAGAGCTCATCACTTAGAGACTCCAAAGTTAAACGTGATTGACCTGGAGCAATTTTATGATGGTGACCCCCTGAGAAATTTCTAGGGCGCGCATGAGTGAGTACAAAGTGCGCAGGAAGACTTGTATTGGTTTGTGGGGCCAGTCTACAATCCTGTGAACAAACACTTATAGCCAGGGTGGGGGCCGGGGTGTTACAGAAGTTTTGGGATCGGTAATTGTAATCACCAAAATTCTATACCAATTCAAATTGAAATTTTTAGTACACTATCAGTACTTGCCAAATCTTATCAAATATCATACCACGGTCACCCCTGGAAGTAGTACGTAGTGCTCCCTCTATTGTAAATTAAACTAGTATCGCACCCGTGCGTTGCAAGGATTATATTTACGTTACTAAATTAAGATCATTTTTGAATGACAGAAAATGATATCTAATACTTTATCCGTCCCATAAAGCACTTCCTGTTTGAAAAAAGCGTGCCTTTAAAATGAGTCATTTTAGTGTTATTTTCTAATTATAACTCATATATCCTACATATCTCATCCTACTCTATTATAAAGTAAGAGTAAAATTAAAAAATAACACCAAAATTACTCATTTTAATGGTGCACTTTTTAAAAAGAAAGAGCTTTATGAGATGGAGGGAGTAGAACATAGACATTTTATTATTTTAAGGCACAAAATTTTTTGGCTCGAAAGACCTTTTTATAAACTACATTATTCGTGCAATTTGTGGGAGCATTATCTTCGTTTCATATCAAAATTTTCAAGTCACTATGATTTGTTACTCTTAAAACAGCAATTGACAATTTCTTTATAATTGACCTTTACTATTTTTTAAACATTACCTTCTATGTAACTTATACACTTACAATTTATTTATTTTACATTTATCATTTAGTATTACGTCACCTTCTATGGAACTTAAGTTAACACTTACCATTTATCTATTTTACATTCAAAATTTATTTTTTACTTAACTTTTAATTTTATCAGTTTATGTTTTATTATTTATGGAAACATAGATTTTTTAATTTTCCAAAGTCAAATTTAATTATATTTATTTATAATTAATTTAATACTACCGTTTCTGGTTTGTACCATACTACCATGTACTGATTTTCAATGCTTACACTTTTAATCCATTATTATGTTTTCAACATTTATCATTTCTATCTCAAACTCATGGATGGAAATCCATGCTCGAAAATTCTCCTCGTTTTAAATAAAGAATAGATAATTATTCCTTTTTTATACTGTGTATTTATTTAATATTTACAATTTCCTTTTTTTGTTATCACTTAATTATTTAAATAATTATTTGCACTAAAACTTAAGTCATTTCTCTAAATAGCATTTAAATTATTTTATCTCTAAATAGCACTTAATAATGTCTATAATGACCAGTGATGACAAACATTTACGTGAATAATGACGAATGCATAATGATTAAAAGTGTTACATTAGGAAAAAAACACACGTAGTGCTATTTAGGGAAAGTCATTATGTTTTAGTGCTATTTAGGCAATTTCCTCTTCTTTAAATGCCTTTCTTTTGTTTCCCTTTTCAAGAATATGGTACTTTATGCATTCCAAAAAATGAAACTATGTAATTATAATATTGTATACATGTCTTTTCTTTTAAAGCCTTTTTTATGTGATACTTATTTAATACGTATGAATTATCTGACAATATTGTATAAATGTGTTTCCAAATAATTAATATTTTTTTCGTTACGAATTATTAATTATTTTCATTTTTTTCGTTACAAATTATTAATTATTTTTTACCAAGGCATCTAACACGTTTAATCTAAATTATTAATAATTTCTGCTTTATACTGTTTATTTATTGAATATACTTGGAACCAATCATTTCCGTGTGAATAAATTAATTGTTTTCGTTACAAATTACTTTGTATTAATTAGTAATTTAGATATGAAATTGTATAATTATGTTAATATCGTATATAAATGTGATTCCTTGTAAAGCCTTTTTTGCGGTACTTATTTAATACACATAAATTACCGTCCAATACGGGATGAACATATTTCTTTTTCATAAGCTCTTTATTAAATACTAGTGCATCACCCGTGCGATGCACGGAGACATAAAGTTAATCACAAGTAAAAAATTTATTTAATTCTAAATATAACTACCAAAATAAAGATGTGTATTAAGAGTAGACTATGATCGATACCTATTATTAAAATCAAGTAAAGTAAAGAACAGATGTTTAAAATTAATTATACATTCTCGTTCAATGTATCATAAATGTATTAATTTATACATGTACTTGTTAGATCTTATCCTATTATTGATCTCGTTCAATGTATCATAAATGTATAATTGCACAAACCTAAGATTTTGACCTTCTGGTGGTAGTAATGTCCCAATTTTAAGATAATTTTGTCCATTCGGACTGAAAGTAGGTAGTCTTCCTCCATTATTCATCGAATGATCAATTTTTCCACCCATTGAAGTGAAACAAAAACATATTATTACAAGCACGAATGTTTTTCATGAAATGATTACTCTTTGTAGTGGCTCCAAAGAATAATTCTTGTAATTGTTGAGGAGCGTGCAGTAAAGATGGTAATGCCACCTTACCATTTATACAACACAATGGATATATGTGTTGTATTTTTTGCCATAACTCCTAAGTCTCTCTTCATACAAAAACCTAGCTCCACAATGCTCGCATTGATATGATGAATTATCATTATTAAAATATTCTGAAAATTATAAGATGTATTAATTAGTATTATATGGCATACATTAAGATAAAATGAATAAAGACTAATTTATAATAAAGTTGTAAGAAGGTACACCAGTATCATCTAACATGCTAAAAGTTATAGGTACATTGCTCAAATTGTCTTTAAATGTTGTTGTTGTTTCCATATGCCCTTGACCATCAAGTTCATTTAAAAGTGATTGTCCTACAAAGTTCCATGACAAAACAGTGTATTAGAAAAAAATAATCTATACTTGGATTTTTGTTTTGTTATAAATGTGTGTATATTAAACAAATAATTATAAACCTTCGATGTTGATATTAGTCACATCAAGGTGTTCAGGATTTTGAGATATCGAAGGTTCTGAACAATCACCGAGGAAATTATTAAGAATTCGCACTACACGGTGTCTCCCTCCTAACTTTCCTGTTTAGGAAAAACTCAGAATATAAGTCATATGAAATTTACCAAAGTAATTTTTAAAATCGATAACTTTGGTTAGTAATGAAATACATGACAAGATTACAAAAAGCAAACCTTTAAATTTTTCACAACTATATAACACAGGCACTTTCAAGAAAATTACTCATGGTAATATGGTGGCATTCGTGTTTAGGTTGTTTTGAATTCTTCTGTGGTGTAAGTTGTGTGGTACAATTAGCTAAGTCAAAAAACAAAAATAAAGTTATATTTCCATAGAATTTAGGACAATGTATTATAAATAAGAGGTATATGAACTTCAATATTATTATTACTTAAAAAAGCTACTCCGTATTCACTTTGCCTCAAGTGGATATTTGTCAGTTTTAGTGTTTTTTCGGTTTAAAATGGCAAAGTTTTACCTAAAAAAAACCTAAAAATAATATTATAATTTCATACAAAAAAATTTTTGTATTAGAATTATTATGCCAATTTTGGTTCAAAATATTATACGGAGTATTACTTATCTTAATATAACATATACATTATATTAAAAAATATGTAAAAGGTTAAATACAAATTATTGAAAAAGTTAAGATTGAACAAATATTAGGAACGAATGCAGAACAACGTATAGAACTAACCGTTTGTAATGTCATCCAAGAAATTTATTTGAAGAGAAAATATTTGTGTTTGTGATAAACTTAACGGGTTGTGAATCTGGGAAGAACACAAGTCCATCGTATTTTGTACATCTGTACCTATAATAATATTATTATTTAGGAAAACATTCATTTTTTCAGAAAAAATTATATATATAAAAAAAATTAATGAGGCACATTGAAAAGAAATTTAGTACAATTTTATAACCCATTTAGGATTTGAGGTGCTTTAGCCAAAAAAAATAATTATTGTCCTGATCCATGCAAAATCATCGGCCCATGGATAGGCTTTGCAACCGGCCCAGACCAAAACGTTCCTAATGACCCTAATTCCACGCCAATATGTAATCTCCCAATCTCGCGTGCGCCGCTGCATTCCTGTCCATTTGTTCCGTTACCTTCGCTCCCTATCTTATTTCATCTTCTTTCACCTGTTTTGAATCTCGTGTCTGCCTAAGGAATCGAAGGATTATGTCCTCGTGATTCCAATTTTTGGGATCGATGTTTCAGTATGTATTTCTTCCTTGATTCGTATTGAATTTATGTGTTTTTCCGTATTTTGTTTTCCATATTATTAAACAGTTTTGAAAGCCTATCTCTTCCATTTTTTCGAAACATATGAAGGTTTTAAGTTTTAGAGCTATGTCTACTTCAATTAATAGAATCCTCAAATCCCTGTGAACTTAATCAAAAAGCACACAGCCAAATAATATCTCAAGCCAAACATTGATAGGTTTTTTAAAAGTTGTTTGAAAACAAACTAATTGACATTCAATCCAAATACCGTAGTAAAACAGTGTGCATGAACACTTATTGAGCACACTCTTGAATAATGAAAACTGAAACAGGAAAAATCTTTCAGTAGAAGAGCTCTCTTTCCTTTTCAACCTTTATTTTGATTTTTCGCCTATTCAACTGCTCTTGCTCTGCTGTTTCAAAACCATTCAAGAGATCCCTCTTTAAATTGTTTTTGTCATCACCTCCCAAAACTTCATGGCCCTCTACATCAATAATGATTCCTCTTTCCATGCTTGTTTCACCCCGCATAATTAGATAGGAATTACCAGATTTACATTAAGGTAGTTGGATAATTACTGAGGCAAAGAACTTACTCCAAATCCTCTAAGCTAATCTCCATGATTAGGGTTTCTCTACCATTAATTGGTTTGGTGATTGGAGGGTCACCAACAAAAAGTGCCCCAATTACATCTGTCAAGAAATAATATATGATATATTACTAAGATATATAAAATGAACTGATGTGTATTTGGAATTTAAGGGTATAAGAAAATGAGATGGGTTATTACCAAACATTTTCAAAACTTTCCAACGCATTAATCTCTCTGAATGGTTTGAAACTGAAAAAATGCTTAGGGAATTGTTCATTCAATATTTCAACAACAATTGTCCTTTTACCAAGCGATAGCTTAAACTTGATTGAAACAATGTGAGGCTTGTTATTTGATAGAATTGCAGGATTACTTATTCGATATAACTTCCCTTCCTTTAGTGTAGCTCCAAACAGTGGTATTAATATATTTTGGAAAAGTGGCTAGCCACAAAAGTCTTGAAGAAAAATACTTCATTATCGTAAAAAATACACTCCCGTGCATAAACTTCTCTGTTGGACATTAGATCGTAGCATCGAGCCAATCTTTATTTTAGATTGGCTCAAAAGGTAGATGGTTTTAAATCCATCAACCTCGTCCAAAGAGCAGGCATTTTTGAAAACTATAAGGCTAATTCTTAGGAAAATCAGTGTAGTGAAAGAATTAAGGGGAAGGGTGTCTTCTCTGCCCTTGGAATGGTGTTTATATACCCAATTGAGTGTGTTAGGTTACAACGATTTTATGGAAGGCATGTTTTCTATGTACTATGGTCTCACTGTGTTGGTCTTTACCATTTGTAATGGGTGTTTGTTGTGTAGTGCAGGAACCATGTTCATGGCATGTCTTGTAATTGATTGATTTCATCATATTGGAAACTTTTTAATAAATGAGAGGCTGCGGGTCCTGATTGCTCTTCTGAATGTACCTGTGGGTCCGGAATTTCTGAATTAAATTGGCCATCGATTGCAATTATGTTTGGCATGTCCTGATTGTAATAAAGTGATGGGTCATGTTGTAATGGATTTGTGACATGTGTCCCAAAATTGTTTCAGCCATTGGATTGGGAAAAACTGGCGGGAAAATTGGAATGCAATTGAGCTCTGATTTTCCATGGGCTTTTATATATATAGTAGATACATGGTTTTTCCTTTTTTGGACCTGGACATCTAACAGTCTAACACATTGAGTCTAAATCAGTAATTATGGAGTATTTCATTTTTTTGAGACTACTTTTATTAAACAAACACATACTCCCTCCGTCCTCCTGTATTTGTCCACTTTCAGTTTTGCACACCATCCAATGCACTTCTTTAATCCATTTTATCTTGTAATTTGTATATTAAAAAATTATAAAAATTATATATTAATAATCTATCAAACAAGATCACACATGACTATATTTAGGCTTACACATTGAGAGAATTTGATGAGTCAAAGTGCTTAGATGAACAGTTCCAAAAGTCAAAAGTGGACGAATACAGGGGGACGGAGGGAGTATTTTTTTTTTCTCCTTTTCATCCGTTGTAAATATGGACCGTAGATTGCATAGATGGGCAAATATCAATGACTCATAAGACTTGACAAATGGGCGGGAAAAGACATGGTGCATTTTCCCCCCACTTTTAAGAATAGAAGGATTGCATGTTTGCTATTTTACATGGTCAAACTTTATATATATTTTTTCTCTATTTTTGTTAGTCATGTGATAAAATAATATAGTAATGTCATCACTAGTTTTGAAGATCTTTTGATGTAGTTTTTAAATGTGTAATTTTATTTTTTAATTTTACATCATTTCACATATAAAATAATTTAAAAATAGTTTTATTCAAATATCGTAAAGCGAAACATGTAATTTAAATTGAGACGGATGAAGTACTTTTTTGGTTTTGTTTTAGGAAAGGCAGGAATAGTTAACACTCCCTGCGTCCCAGTGTCTGTCCAGTTTGACTTTTTCAAGTCAAACATGATATACTTTGAGTTTCAATTAAACAAAAATATTAATGTACATTAGTATAAACATGATTTTATTAGATATATCATGTTGAGAAGTTTCAAAATTTTAATTTAATGTACTAATATTAAACAAAAATTTAGAGTAGTTAAAATTTAAAATTTGTCTAGTTTGATTCAAAAAAAACAAACTGAATATAAGCACTCGGATAAAACTATAGAAGTAGTAGAAGAAAGGACCAGAGGTTGGAATTGAATTGCACGGGTCGAGGTGATTTAATAGCGGAACCAAAATTAAACTTTTGAAAATTGGGCTTGGCGGGTGCTTTAGCAGAAAAAAATTGGACGGATTCCATATATTACAATCAGGTATATTAATAAAAAATAAAAATTACATACTCCCTTCGTCCCGTAAAACATGAAAGTTTGATTTTGAAGAGAGATTTAATGGAAGTGTATATTAGTATTGAATTTCCAAAAAAGTCCTTTGATGTGATGAGTAAAAGTATGATTTGATGGATAAATTATTAGTAAAAAGGTATGATGTGATAGGTAGGATATGAAAAAGTAATGGGTAAAAATGACTTTTTAATAAAAATGAGAAGTGTTTTTTGGGACGAATGAAAAAAGAAAAGAGAAAGATTTTCAGGGACGGGGAGAGTATTAAAAAACTAAGTCAAAAATTCTATAAAGCAAAAGGTGACAAGAATATTTTGTTTTATCAAATATTTAATGAAGACAAATAAAAGTTATCGAGTGAAGAGTGGAAAAAAATTGTAATCAAAATTGGGATAGAAAGAGTATTTAGTACTCACTCGGTCCCATTTTATAACGCCTGTTTCGATTTACGATGTTTGACTGAAATTATTTTCAAATCATTTTATATGACAAATGGTAAGAGTTAAAAAATAAAAATTACATATCAAAATACTACCCCCTCCGTCCCAATTTAAATCGTCTGTTTTGATTTTTGGGCATATTTAAGGAAAATAAAAAATAGAGTTGATTTTTCGAAATTACCATTACTTTTTAGAAAGGGTGATGATGAATGAGAAGATAAGGTGAAGAAGAGTGACTTATTTTAGGGGTAGTTTAGGTATTTTATTTTTAAAAGTTTACGAAAATAACTAACAGACAACTTATTTTGGGACGGATAAAAAAGACAAATAGACAATTTAAAATGGGACGGAGGGAGTACATCAAAAGATCTACAAAACTAGTAGTGACAACAATATTTTATTTTATCAAATTGCTAACGAAAATAGAGAAAGAAAATGAATGAAGTTTAACCTTATGAATAGTATACATGCATTATAATTTAGGACGGAGGGAGTATCTTACAATTCTTCTCGGCATGAGATATATTGCATTCCTAGACTTGCTTTAAGTAATATTTTGGGGTATCACAAAATAGATTCCATACACATCAAAAAATAGATTCCACCGAGTATATGGTATATTCAATATTGTGTTAATACCTTTATACAAATTATAAATAAATACAAATCAATTCAATTTTTCTTGTATTTAATTATTGAAAATTCTTTATTGGTTGAGAATTGTGATTTCTTTTTAAAAAATAGATTCGATATGGTATATTTTATATTAAGTTATACCTTCATATAAATAATAAATACCAGTACATTTTAATCAATCAAATAACTTCAGTGTACAAATAGCTTTATTCTCTTTCTTTTTTATATGGAGCAAAATTCAAAATGCATTCAAACTTGTCCAGAAAAAGGGAAATCACAACCAAATACTCATCATGGAGACTATTGGGAATGTACCGAGTAATTTATTTTTTGATAGAAGATTCTTTCTTTTACTCTACACTTTTTTTAGCAAAACAAAAAATAACTAGTTTAATTTAAATGAAGAAATATAAGTGATAAATAATTTATACTTAAAATGTCAGTCATTCCAAAAGAAATACTCCCTCCGTCCAAGAATAATCTTCCTACTCTACCTTTTTTCCCGTCCGAAAAAAATCTTCCTACTCTACATTTTCATACCCTCTCTTCCAAAAATACCCCTCTCATTAAATCTCACCCATTATTCCTAACTACACCCCTCCCCCCTCATTGAATGTATCGCCAACCATCCTCATTCACTCCTCCCCTCTCCCTATCTTATCCGATCACAATCTCCATGTCCTCCTCAAACCCTTCACATCTTCCGATCTGAACTCTTCATTTTCTCTATCTCCAAACTCAATTGCTTCGTCTCCTAGATCTGCAATGGATTCGTACGATTTGCGCTTCGAATCCATTATCCCGGAGACACAATTTGAGGATATTGGAATTGATGATGGGGATTTCATCTCTGACAAGGTGGAGGACGAGGTCATCGTCATCGCCAGCGACGACGATGTGGCCGATGTTGCCCCGGTCAGAGAGAGGAAGGACGTTGTTCTTCTTGGGAGGGAGGAGCCTAGCTTCGTTGTTCTAGACGGTGAAATTGATGATGCTGATTGGTGCGTAAAAAGTNAAAAATCTGATCTCCAACCAGTGTTGCTGCCTTTTCAATTAAGGCTTGGTCTATGTTCAAACATTTGGGCAGATTCCCTTCTCTGGCTAGTCTGTCCTTCCCCATGTGTGGCAATTTGTAGTTGTTGTTGCCTTCATGTTCCATTACTTTAGTCATTACTTGCTGGTAAGACAACCAAACCTTGTTTAGACATTCTGGACTCAGGGCATTATATGCTCCCTCAACAGCCTTTATCAACTCAACCATAGTAGTTGGAGCACACTGATCCTTTAAGGACTGGATGGCTCTAAAGAACCCAAGATCTAGCACATTTAAGTCTAGAGAGTTGGGAGGTTGATTGTTTAGAGTTATGTGAAACCCATTTCTGTTTGCTGCTGCCATAAAGTCACAGTCCACTCCTTGAATATGTGGTCTTGCATTATCTTGCTGAATATGTATGTCTTTTGACATATGTGTTGGCCATTTTTCATGTATTGCTGGAATAATTGTGTTTATCAGCATGTCCTTTGTTACTTCTTTGGTAACACTGGTAATTGGTTTAACCTCCATAACTCCTTTTGGCCTATTCTTGCTCTTCCTTTTTGGCTCTTAAATTTTCTGTGAAACTGAAAATGCCAATCTTGCCATCCCATAACACTTCTTGATTTTCCCCAAACAGTGGTCTCCTAACCACACAGAGAAACATTACTTTAGCAATGAACCTTTTTGATTTACAGGCCCTATATGGGTCCAGTTCATCAGGGAGAAGGTAAAACTTTTGAGACGTTTTGGACATAAAGAACCATTTCTCATCAATGTGTAAAACATTCTCAAAAGTCTTAAACCTAGGGTGCATTGGCAAGGTATATGGGTCAACCTGATCTAGACAGAACCTCAACCTTGAAATTTTATTAGCATCTGAAAGGTACGGTTTAATAGCATTAGAATGGCTCCTAAGCATACCTTTTTTAATCCACTCATGCACAGTTGACTTAGGCTTATGGATGGCAGCTGCAAGTGATCTTATAGTAGTCCTCCGCCTCAGGGGAGTGTCTGTTATAGCCTTTACATCCATGACAACCCTTTTTCTGCCACTTTTTCCTTGGTAAGATAAGGACTGTAGTTACCGTTACGGGTCGAGATTAACAAAGAAACGTTACCGGGTATACGATGACTGACAAGAACATCTGTGAAATTTAACACGACGTTCCAAGAACTAGACAGGTATGACTCGACTCATTCTTGGTAGCCCCAAAAGCAAACTTACACTTTCATTGCGGAGCGAATATTGGACAGCACAATGATTGTCTAATTTTTTGGTGTAGTGCTGAGTGTTACTGTAATAATCTTGAAAAGCTGAATGTGAAAGAATTGTTGAAAAGATTAGGAAGACAAAGATGGAGAAGAAAGGGGAGTAGTGCTGAGTGTTACTGTAATAATCTTGGGGAGGGGGTTAAATAGCCTACAAATGGATTCAAAATTGATGTATTTGAAGGAAGTATTGGGCGGCATTCCAACAAAATTTGGAGGGAATGCCTAAATTTTGTTATGTAATCATGGATTTGATGTATGATAATGATTGAAATAGTGTAGTTGGTGTACTTTGCTTGCTTTCAATGTATTAGGCCCCTTATTTCTGTTCTTTTTTTCCTTCATTAAGGGTAATTTAGTCATTTCTTTCCTTATTCAACCCTCCACTAAAAATGAGGAAAAATCAAAGTAGGAAGCTTTTTCCCGGACGGAGGGAGTACATAGTAATAATAAAACATAGTTCAATATAAGTGAGTCATAATGCCAAAATTATATTGAAACAGTTCTTTTTACCTTAATATCTTAGGTCATATTGTAGCTTCGTTCCATTAGTAAAATTGATGGTTCCTAACTCGCTTAGCCAAAATCAGCATTTCAAGGGATGCTGGGGAAGGTTAGAAGATAAAACCATCAAGTTTACTAGCAGAGCAATGTAGGTGGCCTGACCGTAATATGACCTAGATGCTAAGGATCAAAAGACCCGTGCAAAAATTATATTTCACTAACATATTATTTGTCAAATAACAACACACAAACTCTTTCCGTCCTTAAAAGATTAACGTAGTTTGACTTATTTGATCAAACTGTGACACTCTTTAACCACAAATAAATATAAGTTAATATAATTAAATATTATAAAAATACAATATTTCAACTACATTTTAAAATAAATCTAATTTTACTAAATTTATACTATAACTAAATAAACATTTTTAATAATTCATGGTAAAAAAGTATCACTGTTTAACCAAGAAGTGAAACTACGGCAATCTTTTATGGACGAAGGAGTATAAAGTTATCATAATGTTGCATTACAAAAAGTAACATAAATATCAAGCTGTCGCATAGTGAGCAGGCAATGGCCCAAGAGCATCGTCGCACCTTAACACGCCTGCAAATGTAATTTATTACTGTAATTTTGGAAAGATGTACAATAACAACAACAACAACACACCAAAGCTTGGAACTCCTAACAAAAGAATTTAGAATTCTATGAAACGTCAATTTAGAATGTCTTACAATAACACTCTTAATAGCTCCATGCATTTAAAAAATGCTCCAAACATATGTGCAGCAGAATGAGTGAGGTGACAAAAACAAAATAGCCAAATCAAATAACAAAAGGATGAAGTTTGTTATTGTCAAAGCTTTTGTGGCATGGCTAATCTCTCGGATTGATTTTGAGGGGAAGGGAGGGAATTGGAAGAGAAATTTAAGGGCCCCTCCCTTCAAAGAAACCCTCCCATTGAGAGGGATTCATATAGTACTCGGAACTTCATTTAAGAATCAATACTGACATTTCAGAAACACTTTTACATATACGCAGCGTGACCTCTATGTTTACAACATAGAGCGGCTGTTTCTAAATGACCCATAATGAGCATCAAAAGTTGTATGAGTACCAAAATTGAGGTTAAAAGTTAACTGTAAAATGATTGGATGCATCAAAATTATAGGTTTTAATTATCATTTTACTGCGTGTAATTTTATGACTAAACTCATGTTAGACATTTGCATGCCTATATATATTAAAAACAAAGAACGAATTACCTCGTCTTCTTCTGTTTCAATCTGCCCATCCTGCAAACATGAATCAACAAAAATGACAGACCATCAACAGCAAACCCAATACATTGTGCAATGAATAGATTCTATGTCTTGCATTTTTGGAAGATTATTGTTATCGCTTCTTCATCATAAAAAATTGCTTTTTTAGTCAAACTATCAAGTTATAGATAGACCAAGAGAGCCGACCAACTGTGAGTGAGAACATATGGAAAGGTGTCGACACCTGTAATTCTGTAAATGTGATTTCTTGTATTTTGAAAAAATGTACAAACAAACTCTGAAGTTTGGACCTTCTAACAGAAAGACTTCCAAAATACTCCTAAAACATATATTGCACAATAATTACCCCAAGCAATAATCTCATAATCCTAGTCAGAAAAATGCTCCAACTATAATGTAGTTTGTCCTCTATTATGTCTAGACCTGGCAAAACTGACCCGGACCCGATAACCCGAACCGAATAACCCGGAACCGAACCCGATTTAACCCGAAAACTGAAGAACCGAAATAGAACCGAACACCCGAAATGATCCGAACCGAACCCGAACCCGAACCGAATGTATTCAGACCCGAATCCGATTAAACCTGAACCCGGTTAAACCCGAACCCGGTTAAACCCGAACCCGATTAAACCCGAACCCGGTTAAACCCGGAACCGATTACACCCGAAACCAATTAGACCCGAAATTGATCAAATTCATTAATATTTCATTTATCAAATGAATTTGGAGAAAAAGAATTACCTATATATTTTTGCATATGTTGATGTGTTTCTAAAAAAACATATTTAAATTATGGGTGCAAAACTGCAAACCATGTAACTACTTTCATGTACAAATCTTTTATTTTGTACTCCGTATTTAATAACCTAAGTTAAAATATTTTTGTATTTTTATAGAAAGTATATAAAAATTATAGTTACATTGTAATACATATTTTATAGATGAAATATTGGATGAAATGTCCCCTTCCAATCATTACAACAAAAATGTAAGGACCTTTGCTGTCTTTTTGAAAATAGAGGGACCTAAGAGTTATTTCAACAAAACTCGCATCACCCGCGAGTAATTTTCTGGAAAACTTTAGAATGTAAACAATTAGTCAATTATATAAGTGTTTATTTTTTATGTACGTCTGTCTTAAATAATACGGAGTAAAATAATTACGAAGTATGTCATAAATTAACTAAATTTATTACTCCCTCCGTTCCTTTAAACACTTCCATTTTTGACTTTTGGCAAAAATAAGGAAAGTGTAATTTGGGTTGACTTTCCAATTTTGCCCCTGATGTGATGGGTAAAAGTAAGATGTGATAGTTTGTTTATTAGGGAAAAAGTATGATGTGATAGGTAGGGTATGAAAAAGTAAGGGTAAAAGTGGTTTTTTAATAGAAAGTGGAAGTGTTTTAGGGAATTCAAAAAAAACGAAAGAGGAAGGGTTTTGTGGAACGGAGGGAGTATGTGATATTATTCATTTATTAGTATGTGTTTACATTATACTTGAGCTAATATAAATTTAAACCGATATAAACTCAAATCCATACAAACCCGAACCGATACAAACCCAAACCGATACCAACCCGAACCGATACCAACCCGAACCGATACAAACCCGAACCGATACAAACCCGAACCGATACAGACCCGAACCGATACAGACCCGAACCGATATAAACCCGAACCGAAACCGAAAACCAGTCAAACCGAAATAAACCCGGAACCGATTATAACATATATCCGAAAGAGACCCGAACCGAAAAGACCTGACCTGGAACCGAACCGATTGACCCGATTGCCAGGTCTAATTATGTCTATACTCCATACTCATTTGGCTCTTTCCTCAGCACCAAAGATAGTTTCTGTACGTTATCAACTAATCGGAGTAATTTTTGTTATTCATACTCACTCCGTCCCAAATTAATACTTATAGTTTGACTTTGCACGGAGTTTTAAAAAAATGAAAATATGTGGTTAAAGTAATGCAGAGGCAAGAAAAAAGGTGAGCCACAAAAAATATTCCAAAAAAGGAAAGTGGAAGATTATTGGGAAGCCTAAAAAAGAAAATTAGGCGGATTAGAGAGTATTATTTCTCTTTACCGTACAGTGTTTTATAACTCCATGTCTAAACTTTAAACACATGTTGGACTTCTTTTTGCACAAATTTATTACGATTAAAGAATGAGTTACCTTGTCTTGGCTCCTTCATCAGCACCAAAGATAACTTCTTTACATTATCAACTAATCGGAGTAATTTTTTTATTCATACTCACTCCGTCCCAAATTAATACTTCCAGTTTGACTTTGCATGGAGTTTTAAAAAAATGATATTATGTGGTTGAAAGTAATGCAGAGGCGAGAAAAAAGGTGAGCCACAAAAAAAAACTTCCCAACAATGTTACCTTGTCTTGGTATGTGCACCACCCATTATGCAATCCTGCATCAACAATAATCATAAAATTATCACCATCAAACACAATATGTTGTGCAATGAATTAGGATTATTTATCTTGCATCTTCCCAAGATTGTTGTTATCAATTTGTCGTCAAAATATTGCTTCGTAGTCAAAGTAGAGACAGACCAAGCCGGAGAGCAGACAAATTGTGAATGATAACAGAGAGTCTGCACTCCATTACCAAAACTTCTTTGAACATAGGAATCAATACCAACATTTCGGAAACATTTTTACACATAAGTTCCCCTAGTTACCCTTCACCATAACACTACATTGTACAGCTGCTTTCAAGAAAACCTTCAATCATTGGTCATAAACATCATTGACTACTAGAAATAGATTATCAAAAATAAGACTTCTTGTCCAACCACTTTAGCTCAAGTTTATAAAAACTTTGTTATAAGTTGTATGGAAACTATGGGGGAATTTGATTTGCGTATAATGAATGATTCACAAAGGGAAACAAAAAAGGAGTGCTTCACCATTCTAATCATTACGTTTGAATTCTTTGAATTGTTCATTAATAAAATTTAGGATTGAGTTGGAAGTACTCAATCAGACTCCTCAATAATCAACCTACACTAAGCAAATCAATTACGTACTTCAACACAATGGGCATGTTTGCCGACTACGTTTTTGGAGTTTAACGCTGAAACCTATTAACCTAAGCATTTAGCAAAAAATTAGTTTGGGGTGACACGAGTTTCCTTGTAATAATTTGTTGGTCCTCGTGTTTTTAAAAAAACCACCAGGATCCTTATGTTTTTTGTTAAGACTTTAAGGATACTTTTCAACATCAATAATAAATATTCCGACGAATAATTTGTTGGAATAAATTAGAGGCATTGTATTTCCTATGTTATCTTTACTCACATAGTCTGTTTGTCTCTTCTATTGTGACTATCATTTCATTTTCAATTTTTTTTCTCCAATTGAAACCAAAAAAAGAAACACACAAAATACTTCTTTCCAAATCAATTATAAATGAAAAAAGGAAACTGAAAGGTAAAAACAAACAAACAACCATGTAATTAAGGATAAAATAGAAATTACAGATTTTTAATTATTCTGGCATATTATTCGTTGGAATTTTAGATATTAATGCCAGAAGTATCCTCGTAGTCTTTACGAAAAAACTTAAGGACCTTGGTGGTTTAAAAAAACATGAGAACCTATGAGCTATTACAAGGAAAACTGCATCACCCCAAAGTAGTTTTTTAAAACCAAGTAACATTATTAAATACTCCCTCCGTCCCAGTTGAAACTTCCCATTTTGACTTGGCACGGGTTTTAATGTAAAGTGAAAAAGGTATTGACTTTCCTCTTTTGCCCTTCAACTACCCTCCCCTTTATACTCTTTTTTTTCAAAACCCACCACCCTCCTCTCCAAAGTGTATGTGCATTAATGCATCACAAACTATTCATCTTCTTCTTTAGCTCCACCGTACCATTGTTCTTCATCGTCCCCTCCCCTCCTTCAACCACAGTTTAATCTTAGAAATTCAAAGACAAATCTAGATTTCAAATCTACAAAATTGAAGAAATTAAAAATCAATCTAAGAAATTAAGAAATTTTAAATCAAATCTAAGAAATTGAAGAAATTAAAAATCAAATCTATGAAATTAAAGAAGAAGAAAAAGGAGAAGAAAGAGGAGGAGAATGGGAGACAGGGGAGATCTGATGATAGAAAAGAAGGAGAAGGGTGGGTGGTGGTCGAAGGAAGAAAAAGAAGAAGACGGGGTGGGGGGAGGTCGGACGGAGAAGAAGAAAATGAGAGAGAGAGAGAGAAGGGTGGGGGTTGGTGAAGAAGAATAAAAAAAGAAGAGAGAAGGAGGATGGGGTCTAACGAAGGGAAGAAAAAGAAAAGGTGGGGAAAGAGAAAAAGAAAGGGTAAAATGGTAAGTGTAAGTGTGTTTTAATTCCATTTTTGGAAACGGGACGAATCAAATGGGACGGCCCGAAAAGGAAAGTGAAAAGAAAGATATGGGACAGAGGGAGTAGATGAAACAATAAAGTCAGCGGGGGCAACCTACCCACTCTCCCTACTCTGGAGTGAATGAGAGGCCCGCGATACCCAATGCGATGCCCCATTAGTAGAGCGAAACACAAAATGAAAACTTAAAACAGCACCACATGAGGCTAAGAGTGTTTTACAATCGCCAATAATGGAAGAGAAATAAGACCAATCATTTAGGCAAGTGTTAAAGGCATCTACAACTTTGCCATCTGTCACAGTGATCACTTGCTTCCATCCTTTTGTCTTCCGTACAAATACCTCTGCGTTTGAGGATGAACTTCTTCCCCTATATTCTCTAACGGCTAAATGCAAGAGGCTCTACCATTCCAGCATTCAGCCGTGTAATTAGGCGTTTAGAAGAAATTTTCCACTTCTAACCATGAAAAATCTAGCTAGAAAATTGGCGCCTAATTCCATCTATATATAAAACAATTTTACAACAAAAAGACTAAGGTTAATCTGTGCAAAAAGTTGCTCCATGGAGGAATCCCAATCTTTGCCAGCAATTAATTCAAATACTTTCAATTTTCTACAATTAAATCAGTATTCTTTTTATTGCCTTTTTCATGTGAACCCTACTGCTGAACACAATAGAATTAAGGTATGAAACATGATTTTTAATTATTCAATGTAATTGATTTTGGAGCACGATTTTTTTAATATAAGCATTATTGCTATTTTTTAAAAAATGTTAGCATATGTGATGACTCCCAAGTTGGCTTGTCTCATTTTGTCCATTGGTTGTTCTGAAAACTTTGAAATCTGACAGAGGGATATAGTATGAATTCTCTTTATAATTCAACAACCATATATTTTCACAAAATCTTAAAATCTACTGCAAATGTTGTTTGAGTTTCCTAAAGCCATCTTTAAATGAGTTTCCACTGCTAAAAATTTGAGCATCTAAGTTTTAAAAAATCTGCCAGAGGGCATGTATCTAGTTTCTTGTTAGTTCCTACTACTCAGTAATTTGCCAGCCACTCTTGGTGCTTGTGAGTTGTGATTTGGGCATGTTAAACTATCCTTTTTTTTCAACCCAGTTTCCATAGGATAACAAGGTTCATTCAAATATTTGAGTGTCTTATCATATTTGTTGCTTTATGCTTGTATGGTTAGTCAAAACATTCTGTTGGGGTTGGTCCTAATTCCATTTAGTAGCATTTTGTCCCATCGTTCAATTTAGTATGGTTTGTATATATTAGTAATATATTTTTAGGCTAATTGACAAAGTGTGCAAATGTGCTGCCTCATATGATCTTTTCTCTAATGAAATAAGAATAAAAAATGGCCAAAGGGACCTTCCCATTTAAGTATTTGGGTGGACCAATTACACCTAGCAGAATCTCAGAAAGGGAGTGTGAGGCCTTAGTCCAGAAGCTGACAATGAAGATAACTGTTTGGACTTCAAGACACCTCTCATATGCAGGAAGGTGCAAATTAAGTAATACTGTTTTGATTGGGATTCTGTCTTTCTGGTGCAGAATGTTTATCATTCCTAGTAAGGTCATGCAGAAGGTCCAAAGTTTATGCAGAAATTTTCTTTGGGGCTCAAGCGCTGATTATCACAAAACTCCTTTGGTAGGATGGGAAGATGTATGCAAACCTAAGCGAGAAGGGGGATTAGGCTTCAAGAACCTGGTGCACTGGAATTCTGCTTGCAATCAGGCTCTTTTATGGGATATAGCAAATATAAAGGACATATTGTGGGTCAAATGGATCCACAATAGGTACTTGAAACTACATAATATTTGGGACATTCAACCAAAGGCTGGAATGTGCTACTATTTGAGGAAAATCTTGAACAATAGGAAGCAATTTTCAGGTATGAACATGAATTCAGCATATGATACTCAAAAAGGGTACGCTTGGCTAATAGCTCCTACTACAGAATTCAAAGCTTACAATATTGTATGGAATAAACTATCCATCCCGAAACACCAGTTTTTTCAATGGCTTGGTTGGAAGAATAGAGTCAGCACCAAAGTTCGATTGAACAAGTTCATGGAGATTGAAACTAAGTGTGTTTTGTGTCCAAATGGTGAAGAAGATAAAACACACCTATTTCATACATGCTCTTATATGAATGAAGTCAAGGAAGCGATTGGGCAGTAGATTCAACAAAGATGGGAAGCCACCAATGATGAGGAAATGATGGGAGAACTCAAAAAGATCAAAGGGAGAAAGAAGAGGCAAGTGGTGATGGCTGCCTTTGCTGCAAACTGCTATGCAATTTGGAGGGCGCGAAACTCAAAGATCAAACAACAGAAGGTTATCTCTTTGACGGAAAGCGTTGAGTGGATCAAATTCCACATGAAGACGTTTATTAATCATAAGCTTAAATGTATTTATTTGCAGTAGGAAGCTCATAGTGTGATGCTTACTGACTAGTGGTTGTAATGTGATTACTGTTTGAGGTGAATGAAATATTATGCGCTTTTGTTCAAAAAAAAAAGAATCAACATCATTATGTATAGTTCCTTTCATGAAATGAAGTGTTTGTGGCATTGTAAAGTGCATCTTGATTGTCACAAACACAGGCATTTGCTTTGCAGCATTATATCATAGCTCCCGGTGTAGATGTTTCCACCATTTTAGCTCACTCATGGATACTGGATAGTGCCATAGCACGATATTTAGCTCCAGCACTTGTTCAAGCCTCCACATCTTTTCTTTTCCAAAAAATAATATTACCACTCAAAAAAGCACATTATACTGATGTGCAGCAGCTCCTTAAGGGAGAATGAGCCTGAACATCACTAAAATATCTTACTATAAGAAAGTGACACCAATCTTTATATTAGTTTACTTGTCTAATGACTTTATGATGTGTCTTAGTGATCTTTATGATGGACATCAATTGGAATAAGAAATTTGCTGCCCTTGTTTTAGTAAAAGTTTATATTAGGATTTTAAAGATTTTCAATTGTTTTGCAATTATACATTCTTTGTTCCACAAAAATATCCACAACATTTTCATTTTGAGAGGATTATGCCAATCTTAGGTTGGAGAACTTTGACTGCAAAAAAAGATAAAATTTGTTTTAAAATAATTGTTATCACAAGACATTATAATTGTTTTATATCATTTGGGTTTATTGACAGAAACATCTATCATTCGCTGCTGCTTCATGATTAGTTTAATCTCATAAACTGTTTTAAAGGACCTTTTTTCGATTTGCATAATCCCTCCGTCCATAAAACTTCCCACATTCATTATTGGGATGTCCAAAAATCATCTTTCTTTTCATTTTTGGCAAATAAATTAGAGCAAAGTGTCTCTTTTACAGTTTTATCCTGACTTTTCTAGGCCATCTTCCTCCTACCTGCCATTTTCTTTTTCATCCAATCCTCTTCCACCATTATCCTCCTGGCCATTTTCTTTTTCTTCCTCAACCGTTATTATTCTCCTCACCATTTTCTTGTTCTTTTGCTTCTTCCGCCATTTTCTTCCATCGCCTTTGTCTTCCGCCATCTTCTTCCTCTTTTGCCTTCATCTCTCACCTCTGCCATCTTTAAACTTTTTTTGTGTCCTCACTGTGATGAATCTGAATGCCTTATCTCCATCGGATCTAAATGCTACTGCGCTTATCAACTACTCCGTAATTTATATTCTATTTCTATTCATTCATTAAACATGTTTTTTTCTCAATCATTTGCTCCCAAAAAAACCTTTCAATTTTTTTTAAATTTAAAAAAAAAACTAACAAATAGCTGAGTACAAAATATTTTTTTCTCACACAAAGATGCTGAACTCAACTAAATTTTAAATTGTACAGATCAACTTGGGCTTTTTAGTACTTTGTATATTATCAGCTTTTAAAAATGTTCATTTTCCAAATACTAAAAAAATCAAAACTCTAACCACTGATTCTGATACTAACAGCTGACAACTCTAACCTCTGACTCTAAATGCTAACGTTGTTCCTGAACATGCCAAATATCTTTTAAACCTATCTTTATTAAATAACCAAATGTGGGACTCTAACACTTGAGAGACCGGACACACTGCATAGTTTTGGGACATATTCTAGTTAACCAAAAACAGAAATAATAGAGGCTAAAATGCAAAGCATAACAAAAAATATAACTACTTACCATCACTCCAGGTGCAGTTGATGACAAGTTCAAGATCATTTTTCTCTGTTTTAGAGCAGCAGCGTCCAATCCTGAACATTTCCTTGCATGATAGATGATCATTCAGAGACATGCAACAAAAATCTATGTCAATAATGAGGGACGAATCCATTGGCACCACAACAAGACTTCGAGAGAGTGGTACTTTCCCATCACTCTCTAATTGTAATGGATCCTTCTCAGTCCTTTCAAAAAGTACGCTCCGAAAATAATCTCTCTTGATGAGTCAACTCATCAGTTTCAACGATATAACTCGCTGACGTGAAGGTATCTAGTACGGTCGGGGATTGACTCATGAGAATTAGGATTTTTCCTAGAGGATGTTCGCGTGACACGCGTCTGAGAATATGGAGTAATGCAATGCACAAAACCCATCTTTTCCCGGAAAAACAGAACATATTTGGGTGTTATGAGGTAAACCATGGTATACAAATCCAAGGTCATGGATAGCAAAAGCTTTGTTCTGAAATTTCCCACCAACATCTTTTAGATTGACCTTAAGTTCGAGCATTTTGTATTGGACAACCTTCCTATACACATCTATGAATGGTAAAACTTTCTGTGAACCTTTTACTTCCACAGCATCATTACTAGTCTTCTTGAAGAGAGACTCAGTATTATTATTGGAAGAGAATTCAACAGTGCCATAAATATTCAATGCTGCCAATTCTTTACGACCAATAAAGATTGAGTAGAATTCTACTAATTTTGATGGTCGTGGTATTTTTTGTTGGCCATGAAGCGGACACCTAATTAAAAGAAAATAGAGCTTTAAACCAATAAACACTTTAAAATGTGACTAAGCTAATATATTGAAAGTGCACAAATGGAAGAATCACAAACCAAGGGTTGCCATTGTTGGATGATGACAATTCATTTTCACACTGAAGAGAAATAACAAAATGTTAGATATAGAGTGATGTAAGATTAAATGTATCAAGAAAATGCAATGCACTTTGAATGTAATATGTTCCCCTCTAAAATACTTCTGTAGTGTTAGTATTAAAATCTTCAGCTCACAACAACCCCATTATTTTTGGTATCTTGGGGGTCTAGATGTATCCAACCTTCCCCAATAGTGTTTTATAATTTAAAGGCATAACTCATGTAGGACCCCTTTTTTGCACAAAGTACTACTTTTGGAGAATGAATTACCAGATCTTCGTCCGAATAACACCACATCCGATCAAGTGGGTACTCAATCAATTTTGCACCCACAAGAATGGCAAAATCACCCTCAACCACTGCACAAGAATCTGCATATGTAGTATTCGACTTAAACAATTCAACTGTCTTTTTAATAAGCTTTCGACTTGTGTTGAAGTCAGTCAAGTCCACATCAAGTTCAAGAGTCGAATATGCTGGCAACCCCATCCATGTCATCCACGTCATCGTGTCATTCTCCATGTTTAGCGGTTCAAAATCATTCTGCTTCTCAAAAAGAACAAATTCTTGTGAATCATAATTGCCATAAGTGCTCTTATATCTGGCAGCAATTTTTCCGGCAACATTAACAACTTGGCCCTTGTCTTTGCTAGAGAGACTGAGATCCACTCGGCAAAGAACAGCAAATGGCATAGCAATATAAATCAAGGTAGCGGAGCAAAGTGTGCCATGAAGTTCTTTTGATCTTACTTCTTCAAGATCACCTTCAGTTCTATCCCCCACCAAAATTTCATCTTGAACCATCGGAACAGCCTCATTCCCAATTTTGAGATGGAGATCCACTACTATAGTTGTTCCGTGCAATCCCATCCACAAATCATAATGACTTAAGGAAGTACCACACAAACCAAGAGTGAAATTACCACCGTTGGGGCTAATCTTGTCGGCATTTTCAGCACTTTGGTTGTAAACATCAAGCTGCATCGGTTTTCCACTCTGGATATGGTCGTACTTCACCCGGACCGTACCATATACGGAGAGTGGTTTGTCTTTTATAGCATCTTTTGGTTGTACATGTAGTGAATGCAAATGAAGTAAAGGCCCAGCTTTAACATAATCACCAGCAACATTACATCTTTTATAGGATATAGAATCTTTGCCTTCAAGTTTTTCGGCTTCTCGTGGAGCACTGATACAATGCATTTCGATTCCCATTCCGAAGAAAGTGTAGGTTATGTTGCCGTGGTCCGAGAGGAAAATCCTCTCCACATCTTGTACTGTAGCATAGGGGAAATCTTTTAGAAGCTTTATGGCACGCACAAAGAGCTCAACCATGCTGGGAGGTTTGCCAGAGGAGACCCATCTCTCCAAATCTTCTCCCTTGACATAGGGGAAATCATTTAGAAGCTCAATTGCATCCATGGAGGATGCAAAGAAAGATTCACTGCAGTAAATTAGGATGAAATTAGAGATCTTTATGCGACCCAGAAACTTATACTAAAAAGCGCGTTCAATTCAAGTTTTTTTTGCTTTATTAGAAGAGTAATGCTAGAGTCACAAACTACTGTGACATTAATTACACAAACTTCCTATTTATGTATCTCAATTTTCATTTTGTAAGCATTTAATATCACTTTATTCAATCGGAAAAGTACAAAAATAGGAAGTTTGTGTAATTTGTGTCCCAGTAGTTTGTGACTCTAGCATTACTCTTATTAGAAAAAAAAGTACGCACAGATTAATCTACCACTATATATATATATATATATATATATATATAGTATTAATTAATAATCGGACCAATATCAATACTATTTCACGGGTTAGGTTTACCTCGAAAACGGATTGTTTCGTATGCCAGTGGAAATAGGAGCGACGAGTGTATGATTTTTCAATATACTCGATGAAAATGAATTGGGATCGAATTTTCCCTTTTTCTTTGATACTCTCCGTCTGAGGCACGATGTGGGAGGCACTCGGTTCGGTTTTCAATGGATAATAGGGTTTTAGATTTGATTTTTTATGGCTCAAAAGTATAATACTCCTTACGACTTCTCCGTCCTAAAACATTGAATTGTTCACACTTCTTTTTTTTCTCCTTTCTAAAAATATCTTCCACTTCCAAAATTAAAATGTACAATGACTAATATACCCCTCACCAATCACCCCAACATTCCCACGTCTATGCCAGTCACCAATTTCAATCCGGTCATATTTGTTTCTTCGCCGAAATAATTGTGCCTAGCTTTAATCCGGTCATATTTGTTTCTTCGCCGGAATGATTGTGCCTAACTTTAATCCGGTCAGATCTAATATTCACTGCCCAACTTCTCCCCAATCCGATCGTAGATCTAATATAGTCAGATTTGTTTTCCGATCGTCGATGCCATAGCCTAGATCTATTTTTTAATGGTCGCTGGAATAGTTCACATCTAATTTTGAATCGTCGATGTATGGGAAACCTAGGTTGCGAGGTCGTCGTTGCACAACCCACATGCTCCCACCGTCGTTTTAGTTGCGAGGGTGCTCCGGAGCAGTAACCGACATCCATCTCCAATCGTAACTGTAGCTTGGAGAAAGAGAATGCCGCCGCCGTCACCGTTTCAATAGCTGGTGCCATCTCCCGGCGTCACTAATCTCCCTCAACATCTCCCTGTGTTGCTACGTAGGATTCAAAGAGAAAGAAGATTCGTCTCTTCATTTTTGAGATCTGCTTTTAATTAAGGAAAAATATGAGCTTTGGTAAATTTTGTAACTGTTGGGTTGAGAGTGCACAAATATGGGGTCAAGTAAATTGAGGATATTATTGTGCTTGTTAGAACGTAATTCCCCCTCCTTTAGAAGGGAAGTGGTTTATATGCAGATTACAAACTAAGGTTCCGACCATTGGTCCATAGTCCAACGGTCTAGGCCCACTAAGATTGGGTTGTTCACTGGCGGCGTCCAACCACATCATTAGCCCTAAGATTATTATACAAAGTAGGTTACAAATAGGGTGGCTAGAACAACTCTGCCAAAGGTATGACAGGAGAGGTACGACAGGGGTCTAATCGTGGGCCTCTTGATCTTGACTGTTTAGCCATCTTCCTTGTCTAGACCTGGTATGCTGCTGCCTAGGGCCGAGGCCGAGCGTACGACCTGTCTTCTGAAGTCTCTTGGTGAAAGGCCGGCCAGGGTGGTCCGAGAATGGCCGATCCTACCGAGGCCGAGCGTGTGCTGCTATCGGGCTGGCCTTCCTTGGTCCTTTGTCCATCTTGCTTTGGTTCGCTAAGTGGGCCTTAGCGAAGTTGGGCTGGGCCGCCTTTCCGTTGGGTCGGATACCCCCATTCTCGGGTATCCATCAGTAACTTTTGTACTCCCTCCGTCCTAAAACTTTCTCCCCGGTTCGCAAAACGAAGAAAAATCCCAAGTTTTTCAATCTATTTTATTTAAATATTGGTATAGAAATAAAAAATAAAACATACATATTTAAAAACTACATCAAAATTTCAACAAAACAAGTGGTGACAAGAATATTTTATTTTATCATATAGGTCATGAAAAAACACAAATAAATATAAATTCCCGTAAAGTTGGAATACTGCTCCGAGTAGAAAGTTTTAGGACGGAGGGAGTATTAGTTATTGTTTGAATTTTGTTAAATTATACAATGAATCTTCAATGTTGTTCTTTCTTTCTTTCTTAGAAATTCTTTCTTTTTGGAATTCAATACTTGTGTCTTATGATTTTTTTACATTTTGTTTGATTTCTTACTCCCTCCGTCTCATTTTATAACGCCTATTTCGGTTTACGATGTTTGACTGAAGTTATTTTCAAATCATTTTATATGAAAAATGGTATAGAGTTAAAAAATAAAAATTACATATTAAAATACTACATCAAAAGATCTACAAAACTAGTAGTGACAACAATATTTTATTTTATCAAATTGCTAATGAAAATAGAGAAAGAAAGTGAATGAAGTTTGACCATGTGAATAGTGAACATGCATTATAATTTGGGACGGAGTGAGTACTTTTAAAGCTAAGGGCATAAATGGAAAGTCAATGCATATTTTCTACTCCCTTAAAAATGGCTTAAAGTCAAACCAGGAAGCTGGTTTTAAGACGGAGGGAGTATATTTTAATCTATATCACACTAATCAAATTAATAAAAAACTACAAAAAAAATTACACACTTTCAATTATTTATCCAATGTATTTATAGCCCAAAATTAAGGAAGTGCGTCATAAAGTTTGACACAAATGATAATCATCTGTGCGAAACATGGGTGCACCTATGGTAGCACCCATTGGGGTGGGGGGATCCTAGCATTTTTCATCCAAAAAAACACAACTATCCAAATTCCAATTTGCAATTGCAACCCCTGATCAACCACCATGACAACCAAGGCTTTGGTTTTTACACTGCTTCCGATCAATCCATCCATGAGAGCAAAGTACAAAAAAGGGTATTTAAAACCCTTATGGCGACGTGTCCATAGGAGTAGGCACTGACCCAAAATCGCTCCCAAAATACTCCTAAAACAAACAAGTAGTGCACCACCAATAAGTTGATCAGTGTCAGTATAAAACATGCTCCGAAGATGTGGCCGAATCAATGCCGGTCACGAAAACAAATATTTGTGTAAGACGGTCCACACCTTTTGCATTAATTGTTATTACTCGTATTATTTACCCTCACTGCAAGCAGTGTTTTGTGATTTCATGTCTAAACTAAACTCATGTTGGACTTCTTTTTGCATAGCTTTGTTACATTTAAAGAATGAATTACCTCGTCATCGTCTAAATCACTCCCCCCACCATGCGGATCAGGTTGTTTTCGCTTGACGCTTGAAAAGGAAAATAAACAGAATTAGCAACAAGATCAGAAGATCCTCGCAGGTTTCAGTAACAGCCCACAACAAGCAAGCAAGCACTCTATGAGGCACCAAAAGCCATTACCTCTATTTCTTTTCCTACCAAAGCCAAACAAGTGAGTTTATACTTCCATTTCATTTTAATATACAAAACAACAACCCTAGTATAATCCCAACTCATTAAGGTCTTGTTAGTCAAGAAGTACGCGACCCTGATTCACTTTATGCTCCGAACTTCATAAAATGTAAAAAATAAATGACATGATTTTTAATAATAAATTGGCTGTCAAGACTCAACAATCCTGCAAAATGTTATTTTGCTATTATCCATCAAATTCTCGCACAAACAAAGACATAGTACTACTTCACTTTTGTTGACTGTGGAGTACAACAATTGAGGTATAATGTTAACTGTGGAATGACTGAACACATCAAACTCGTTGATCCTAATTTTTACTGTACTTTCTAATTCTATGACTAAACTCATGTTAGACTTCAGCTTGCATGTGCATATATTTTAAAATTAAAGAAAAAAAAATACCTTCTCTTCGTCTGAATCACTCCACCCTTCCTGCAATCCTGCATGAACAATAACTACAAAACCATCAACAGTGAATACAATACGTTGTTCAATGAATCAGGATTCTTTGTCTTGCATTTTGCTTAGATTATTGTCATCGCTTTGTCTCCAAATCAGCATAGGCGTGACAAAGCAATGAACTTCGTTAGCATTGGAGTTAATTTGTGGCATGGGTTATATCTTGGGAGGGAGTATTATTCTTTCTGTACGTAATTGTGTTAGACTGTTCAACCTTGGGAGTATTTATGTACATTTTCCGTTAATCATATTATTTATCTTCACTGCATAGTGTTATAAATCTAAATTCTAAACTCAAGTTAAAATTCTTTTTTGCACATGTTTATTACGGTCAAAGAATGTATTACCTTGTCTTCGTCTATATCTCTCCACCCATCGTGCAATCCTGAATCAACAATAATGACAAAATCATCAACAACAAACCCAATATGTTGCACAATGAATTGAGATCATTTATCTTGCATTTTCTCAAGATTTTATTGTTATGGCTTAGTCGTCAAAAAATTGCTTCTTGGTCAATGAACTTCTTGATAGAACGAACGTAGGAAACAACTTGAGGAGAGATTATTAGTGCTGTTTCTATTGGGGTAAAATTGGGATATGATTGATATGACTGTCTCAAAATGAGCCCCTTAGAGCATCTCTAATGGGAGGTGGTAAAAATGAATTGCTATTTGTTAAAAACAATTACGTAGTATTGAATAGTAGTTTACCGGTTGAACGTCGGGTTATGAGAGGCAGGGTGTTGAGTGCAAATGTTGATTTTGGAAGAGCCATTCGCGAGGGAACTTTTTCCCTTTGCTTGGTTGGAAGATCCGCGCAAGGGCGACATTATGAGGTTGAATCGAAGATGTTTGTGCCTTCTTAATACTTTTTAGCTAGTTTGCTACTAAAAGAGCGTAACACATTATGAGTTTGAATCGAAGATGTTTGTACCTTCTTAATACTTTTTAGCTAGTTTGCTACTAAAAGAGAGTAACTTGGGTGACTGAATGGTGAAGAAATGAATTCTTGATTTGAAAAGGGGAAGTCATTTTCCACTGGAAAGGTACGTTTTCTTTTTAATTGATGAACATCATTAGTGTGAATTTTGGAACTCTTGAAGTTGTAAGTGATATTATTCTATTTTTGCATCCCACTATATACGAAAAATTAACATATTTTCAATTTTTTTAAAATGTAATAGAGTGGGCTTGGGGTTTACTTAAGGTACAGAGGGGCCGTGGGTGTACGGACTAATTATTTGTTACAACAATTAGATTTTTTGAAGGTAAAAACAATTAGATTTAATTAATCCAAACCTTGTGATATTAGAGCCACATTAACAAATAGTGAATCTGAAGTAAGGATCAACCAAATCTACACTAATAGTTCTTAGAAAGATTTATAAAGTATTATATTATACATGTTATGATTGGATCATATCTACCATTTATCAAGTATACTCGAAATATACACTAAATGCATGCACCAATATCTTGATGATTTATACTAACTTAAAATGTTAGTCTAATAAAAAAAATTGTACTAACATTTCATGTTTGTATAAATCATTATATTAAAATCACTTGTGTATAGTTTGGTATATATTTTTTGAGCTACAAATAACTTAATTCTTCTCTTTTTCTTTTTTTTGAAATAGTGGGCCTTGCATGTAAATGTCTCTTATCCAATTGCGTACTTTTTTATGGATGTTACGAGAGAAAAATGAGCTATAAAGAAATTAGTACGAGCTTTTTAATCTGGAAGTCTAATGTTTATATAGTTGGTTACAGTTTCGAAAATCAGTGGTATTGTTTTGAAGATTCTCAGGTAAGGTTATTGGTTGTGAAGGTTTAGAAGAACTTTCTAGGTATGAACATTCTTTTAGTAAAGGTAAGGGTGATGAAGGTAGCATTGTATCGATTGTAGCTCCCAGACACTGGCAAGAGAAAAGAGGGATGTGAAGTGTTTTTTGTGCACCTATTAGTAGGTTCTCAATTTCGGTCGATTGAGGATCACATTTATATTGGTATTTGTCTTAGTAATTTTGAGGATTTTGATAAAGTACCTGAATAGGAAAGGAAGTCTTTTGAATGGTTTCGATCTTTTAAAAATACCAGAGACATGAGGACTATATTATGATCTTGATATCAGCCGGTGACTCTGCTGATTTTGACAAAAATACAAATTCCTTTGATTTTGCAAATGATCTTGTGCGTAATTCGGAGCATTTGTCTGAATGTTAAGTTATGTATTGTGGAACAAGGTGCTTTAGTTTTGATACTCTGAATATGGATCTTTGTTTTCAAAAATGTCGGGTTATGGATCTACACTCTCTTAAAAACACTTTGGCACTACTCTGCTATATGAATTTTGATCAAGTTTACGAGGTAGAAGAAAACATAAGTGGGATGAAAAGTCTAGGGAGATTGAAGAGATTGAAAGAGATCATTAGATTTTGGGAACGGAAGTGGTCAGAGAAGGAACATCCAAAGAAGGGGCCAAAACAAAGGAATTGATCGCTTCCCTTCCCAAGATCTAATCATGTCTTTCAATCACTTCAATCTCCCTGGATTTTCCATCCCAGTTTTCTTTTCTTTTACCTCGTAAAGTTAATCAAAATTCATACAGCCAAAGTGTTTTTTAAAAGAGTGTAGATCCCAAATCCGACATTTTTGAAGACTAAGATCCAAACTGGATGTATCAAAACTAAAGCACCTTGTTCCACAATACAAAACCCAACATTCAGTCAAATTTTTCCAATTACGCACAAGATCCTTTGCAAATCAAAGGAGTCAGTATCTTTGTCAAAATCGGCAGAGACAGCGACTGATATCAAGGTCATAATTTCGCCCTCTTGTCTGGTATTTTTAAAAGATCGAAACCATTCAAAAGATTTTCTTTCCTATTCAAGTATTTTATCAAAATCCTCAAAATTACTAAGACAAAAATATAAATCTGATACTCAATCGGCCGAAACCGAGCAGCTTCTAATAGGTGCAAAAAAAACACTTCGCACTCCTCTTTTCTCTTGCCAGTGTCTGAAAGCTGCATCTGATACAATGCTACCTGCATCGCCCTTGCACCCAAACCTTTACTAAAGGAATGTTCATACCTAGAAAGCCCTTCTAAACTTTCACAACCAACAACCTTTATTTGAGACTTTTCAAAACTATACCACTGATTTTCGAAATTGTAACCAACTATATAAACATTAAACTTCCAGATTAAAAAGCTCATACTAATTTCTTTATAGGTCACTTTAATCTCCAATATAGGGCATCCATTCACACATCTCACCTTTAGGATACCCTCTATCACACAACCTTGTAAGGACTAAGACATAGTATTTATTTAAGAAAGCACCGCAATGGTGCTTTTTAAAAACAAACTTACTAATTAAATTAGAAGTCCTTTTTTTAACTATTTAAAGCATTATAGAAGATGAATGTAACTTTTACTCATTTTGAGGGGAAATGAGTGAATTGCTTTACAGTTTTGACCCTAAATTAACATCATTTGATTTCAACTACAAAAGAGAATAAACGAGTTTAGAATTAAAGGCTGAAAACAGAGAAGAGGATGAAGATGAAAACCTCCATCCATCGGAATCAATGGATTTGTTTGCCACTGCCTTACGTATGAAGCTGAGCTCTAAATGAAGCTTACCAGATACGCTTCAAAGTCTGAGGTCCGTGCAAAGTCTATCGATTACCCAATTTGCCAAGCTCGAGCAGCGTGCATCGTTGTTGAAGCTGTGTAGAATGAAAATTTGAAAAGAGGTTTCAGTTGAACCCTAGACAAAAGAGATGCCAGCTTATCTCATATGCTGTTCACTCATGGGATAGAGTACTGTGTCAATTTACTGCAGATATGGGCTGGAAAGTTTAATAACCAACTCCAAACAAATCAAACAGAACATAATGGCTTCAAACAGACCAAAACCACACAATGGGCAACTTAAATTCCAAGTCAAATCAACAAAAAAGCACCCCAACTTATTAACTTTAACTTTCATGGACAATGTGTACCCGTAAGTAAATCTTAGACACTATGCAATAGTGCCAAATTAGTTCACATGATGTTAGGATAGAATGGAACATTTAAACTCTCTATAAGCAACAAAGGAAAAAGAATACAACTCAGAGGGGTCTTAATGCACGCACAGAAGGTTAAGGCCAATAGAATATTCTACCAAAACTCAATTTCCTAAACCAGAACATAGCAAACAAAACAGCAAGGCGATTCAGACAGAACGTGGTTATTTCTACCAAAGATGGTTCTGCCAGCTAAGGTTTGGCAGGAGAAGGGGCGGCAGTGAAGAGGTGGCTGCAGAGTAGAAGAGAACGTGGGAAACAAATGGAACAGAAGAGAACATGAAGAAGCCCAGCACTCCAACCCCCAAACAGTAACCCAATTCCCAAATTCAATTCAATTTCAAATTCAATCAATCAGAGGATTCAGTAATCATAATCACGAATTCAGAGTCAACTGAAAGAGAGTATATTAACGGATAATATTCTACCATATCAGAGATATAGAAACCACGATTCACCTTAGATTAGATTAAATTGAAGCAAAAATTACAAAGTAACCGGCATATAAATACTCCGCCAAAGCTCTGACGACCTTGCTCCTCTAGTTTCTGGTGGCACTAACTGGGGGAGAAGATGCGAAGAGCCTCAAAATAGTTTCTATTTTCAGGAACTTGAAAATAGAGATGAAATGCATTCTTCAAAACCAGCTTAAAAAGGTAAATCAAACCCAATGCATACATTTCTTTGGCTTCTTTGTGCAAGAAAATCAAAATAGACCTGTGCAAGAAAACTTACTAAAGTCCCTATTTTGTATTTAAAATAGTCACACTACGACATAAGCGAATGCCAAAGTAAACTTAAAACCTTGAAAGGCACTAAGAAACTATGAGAATCCAACTCCAAATTGAATCCTAAAATGAGAAAAGGCCTGTTTAGTTTTTTTGAATTAGAAAATGAACATCATAAAAAGAAAGCAAAGCATGGGAAAGGTTAAAAAAGTGGAGAAAGTCAAACCTTCAGCCTTGCGAATCTTAGTCCAAACATTTCATATATAGCATAGAAGATCTTAGCTACCTGAAATAACAAAAGTAAACAAATAAAGGCCGTAGGATTTGCTGCTAGGAAATAAACTTGTTTGTATAAATTAGACAACCAACAATGCCTTAGTGTATAATAATGTTAGTGTTACGAGTGAGAAACAAAATTTACCTTGTAGGAGCAAGTTTCATAATGACAGGAAAAACACCAGGATATCCATCCATTGTATAATGTAAACACATTGTCACAAGTTCAGATCACATTGGTTTCGCTGTCAAGGTGTGCTCTACCTAACTCTCATTTCTAAATATCACAACATGTTCATCCACCATTAGCACCCTTAATACAAAATGGTTAAAAGAACAAAAAAAATCTTCTGTATTTTACTATTTGTTCCCAAATTTGTGCAGCACGCATTTGATCAAACATGTATAAACATGCAGTAATAGATTTGTTTTCCTGCTATGTTTTACTATGTATTTCTTTCCAAATTTATGCAGCACCTATTTGATATTTTGATTATACCAAGCTCAAAATCTTTATGAAAACAGAAAACATCATCAAAATAGAAATTAATGAAAACAGAAAAAATCATCAGAATAGAAAATAAAGAGAGAAAATAATCACAAAATATCTCTGCTCTACAAACTTAACACGCCATTATTATACATGTCAGATGGGCAGTCTAAGAACAATAATCAAATTTAGTCAATAACACTCCAAAACTTCATTACGAGGTTATAAAAAAAAGAGCATTGCGATTTACAAGTTCAATTTGGTTATAATTATTTTATGTTTTTGGAAATATATTTTTCCCAATTAAAATATAATATTATGGTTTAACATTGCAGTAGTTTGTTGAATAACTTCTCTCAGAATTTGGTAGTATGAACATATAAAATCAATTTAGAGGCCAAATCTACCAATTGACATTGATTCATCTATGTTATTCACTCCATAACTTTTGGCAGGGAAAGAAAATGTTATTCTTAAAAGAGAAAAACAAGAGGAAATTACATCAAAAATAGCACCGAAAAGACCTTGAAAAAAAAGCAAATTAATAGATACAATTCTGAAAAGTAACACCCTACACCTAGTTAGTCTTCATAAGTTTAAGTTTGAATTGCAACTACCTGGAAAAGAAAGAACGGAGAGAGCAGCTTGGGAGATGATAATTGGTATCATAGAGCACACAATGCAAGCTTGTCTGCAATTAGCGGCGAAAATGCATCACCGAGCTTGTATTGAGAGCAGAATAGGGAGAAAACCCTAATTTTAATAATCTGAATTTTTTTCTTAGTTTACTTGTGAGATAATAAAAAAGTGTCATTGGGGATGAGAAAGAAAAGGGAGAACAGAATTTAGATAGAGATTGAATATGAGCCACATACAAAGAGATTGGGAATGGGGGTGGGGGAGATTAGTAGGCCTTGCTAACGGAAAAAGAATAGAGCCCATAGAAGTCAATAGCATAATTAACAGTGAATAGTATAGTTAACGGAAGAAAGACTAGAGGATAACAACGTAGAGCCTTATTATATTATACACTAGCCTCTCTAGATTACATTCATAATCCCGCGTTTTCTCATAATCATTTTCTCAAAAACACATAGAAAGAGCATAAAAATCAAAATATAAGAAAATGACCAATGGTTAATGATATCGAGAGTCCCCAGATGTGAATTGATAGTGTAATAAAAAAAACTCAAAAAAAAGGCTATAAATAGATTTTGAACAAAAAAAACTAACAACTGCTTGCACGGGTTTTAGGCAGAACAATTCCTTCAAATTGTCGAATTGTGCTAACTTGTGTCTTATGTCCTTTGGAAACAACCTCTCTACCTACTACCTACTCTACTTAGTGATAAGGTTTATGGTATGTTGCTCTTACGGCCCAAACTCCATCAGGGCAAGATACAGCCGCCACAAGCTCGAAAGCTCCAGACCCATCTCGTAGAACGGATCGGCCCAAGAGGCCACCTAAATGGTTTCAGAATTATGTTTAATTTAATACCTTTTCATGTCTGTAGATTTTTTTAGGTGAGCAAAAATTAAAGCTCCTTTGAGTGTTTTTCTTTTCGGTTCTTTACCTTGATGCTTTTTTTGAACTGACTCGATAGATAATTTAGTTTAATTAGGTTTGAGGAAACTTTTTAATTTAAAGAGAAGCCTTAAACTCCTTATAATATCATAAAAGAAGAATTTCGTTCCCCCCTAAATTCTTTCTTCTTAAACCCTAATCACTTTCTCCCTCGTCAGTCCTCCCCTTTTTCGTTGCTTTCGATCTCCGACCTAGACAATTGGTGCTTTCATTGCCATACTCATGGCAAATCCTACCCTCGCCGCTAACACGCCATCACCAACGTCAGGAAGGAACTCCATGCTAAAAAGTTGTTCTTCTAGTTGGAAAAATAAATTTGCGACAAGGAATTATACCTTTAATGGAGATGAGCCCAAATATCACCAGCGATAAACGATGCAAGCAGTTGAAAATTAACAATTGTCCACTAGACATATGTCGAATGTTCTTTTGATCGAATTAAGGATGTGGTAAGGATAACCGGATTGTATAATAAGGCACTTGTGTAGAACTACATTAAAAGATTGACTCCAATTGATTACTTAGTTCAATTCAACAGCTTATATACCAATTACTTTTCTATTCAACTTTTGATGTGGATTGACTCTAACACTCTCTCTCAAGTGGACAACCAGCCCATTTTAAATCTAATCGTTTGACCACTTGCAAAAATACTCCCATCTCCTTGATTTTTTTCTTTTTGAGCACCAACACTTAAAGGACCACGAGCCACTAGGTTTGAACTTCCAAACAAGCAGTTGCGTAAAATGGGCCACAGGTTGTTTGTTACATGCTCCATACAGACAACTGGACTAAAGACTAATAGACCGCTAGGAAAGAATGTCTAAACAAACACCTGGACAAACCAGGTGGCTAAAAACCTACTCCGATATCATGGTAGAATTTAAAATAGGGTAAGGATAACAAGATTGGGTAATAAAGCACTTGGGTTGAACCATATTAAAAGATTGAATCCAATCGATTACTTATCTCAACTTAAAAGATTAGATACTAATTACTTTTCTATTCAACTGATAGAATTTAGGATGCGATAAGGATAACTAAATAGGGTTAAAAACAATTCTAACTAGAAGTTAAAATGAGCAACAGAAGTTGACAAAAATATAAATACGTTCATAACAAAGATAATAACGATTATGGTACGTCTAACTAAATTTGTGGGTCTCTAATATAAATAGAGCATAGTTGTAGTTCATGGTGTTGTGAACCGTCTATGACATAGATGCATTTTACCGGAGTTTAAATAATGTAGTTAAATGAAATGAAAGTTTTATACCTAAATAAATACAAAGTAGTCTAGCTACTGGTACCAAATCAACAAGCATTTAAAGAAGTTGGGATTGTTACGAGTATTATTCTCATCCCAAAAAGATGCAAATTGACCAATATGTTTAATCAATCAACACGTACGTAATACAATATTAGTGGTTGTCTGTGCTTTGTTGTTGTTTGTCACTTCTAAGTTCTAAATGGCTTAGGTGTATCATCAAAATAATGTTTGGGGTATACTTTCATCATGTCATCAAACTAAAATATACAGTGATCCTAATTTGGTTTTCCAATCAACCAAGGTACTAATGAGCAGTGCAAAAAACCAATAAAACAAAAACCAACAAAAAAAGACATACAAAACCAAGAAAAAAATAAAGAAACTTGTATTATGTGTGTGTGTGTATAGCAAGCATAAAAATCAATGTCGATATGTTGCTAGAAAGTAATTAATTACCACGATAAACATAACCTCCAATAGACTCTTTATTGTAAGATGTAAAGATCATACCCTCATGTATCAATTCCAATGCTTCAGACCGGTAAACCTATATCTTGTATTCTCTCCTTTGGATGGGGAAAAACAACCCTATAGTTGGCTTTAATTCTACCGTAGATCCAATATGCATTTATAAAATACCAAGTAGTAATTTGAGAAATAAAATTAATTCCTCTTTTTGTCCCATAAAACAATTGTTGTTTGAAAAAAGATACCTTTAAAATAAAATAATTTTGATGTTATTTTCTAAATATAACTCATCTATCATATACATATAATTCTAGTCGATTATAAAGTAACACCAAAATTACTTATTTTTAGGGTGTGATATTCTTTTAAAAAGGAAGGGTTTTATGCGACGGAAGGAGTCAATGTGTCTTTTCCCATTATAGTACTCCGTACTTAAACTTTTGTATTTCTTAAATAGTACTTGAATAATCTCTAGTGGCGGGAACAATATCCAGTGATAGTGGATATTTAGTTTGAACAATGTCCAATGGTTGTAGACACTTATTTAAAAAATGGCTAATGGACATTGAACAGTTGTACTATGTTGAAAAACTAAACTATATGGTGCTACAATGAAAAGGTCACAATATTTAAATCATTTTGTTTAATCAAACTTGCACTACCCATCACACCATCAACTTTGCATTAAGTTATTGAAGTGGATCTTTTCTGTTTTTGCAAAGATGAGAATTGGAATTTGTTATGCAAGTTTGATGGTGTAATGGATAGTGCAAGTTTGATTAACAGAAATGATTTAAAATATTGTAACTTTCTCATTGTAGCACCATATATTTTTATTTTTCAATATAATACCTTTGTTCAATGTCTACTGGTTATTGTTTAAGTAAAGCCTGCAATAATTAGATATTGTTCAAACTAAATTCCACCATTATTGGATATTGTTCTAGCCACTAGACATTATTCAAGTACGATTTAGAGAATGAAAAAATTTAAGTACAATATTCAAAAAAGACATACGTACTCCTTCTGTTCATAAAAATCTTCCTTTAAAAAATGTACACCTTTAAAACAAGTAATTTTGGTGTTATTTTTTAATTTTACTCTTACTTTATAACAGACTAGGATTATATGTCGATGATAAATAAGTTACATCCAGAAAATAATATCAAAAATCCTAATTTTAAAGATACATCTTTTTTCAAACAGAAATGATTTCATTGGAAAGAGAGAGCAATTAATTTTATCTCACAACATAATACTTCGCATTTTATAAATGCATGTTGTATACACGGTAGAATTAGAGACAACTATAGAACAGCTTTTCCCCATCCGGAGGGAATGCAATATATACGTTTACCAGTGACTAGCACATCAGAAGCGTTGCAATGGACACATGAGGGTATGATCTTTGCAGGTTACAAAAAAAGAGTCTACAGGAGGATATGTCTATCGTGGTAATTGATTATTTTTTAGCTATATATCGGCATTGATTTCTATACACACACATACACATAAAGTACTAGTTTCTTTATTTTATCTTTTATTGGTTTTGCTGGCTTTTTTGTTTGTTTTTTTCTTTTATTTTGTTTTTGTTTTATTATTTTTTTACAGTATTCATTGGTACCTTGGTTGATGGAAAACTAAACTGGGATCATCGTATATTTCAATTTGATGACATGATGAAAGTATACCCTAAGCATTATTTTGGATACACCCAAGCCAGTTAGAGCGGCGAACATGAAGGCACGGACAACCAATAAATTTGTGTTACGTACATGGTGATCTATTAAACACTTTAGTCAATTCGCACTCATTTGGGATGAGAATAATAATCCTAACACTCCCAACTTGTTCTTTTAAATGCATGTTGATTTGGTAGCAGTAGCACTTGAAGTACTTGACTACTTTATTAGTATTATTTAGGTATAAAACTTTCATATCGTTTAACTTAATTATTTAAACTCAGGTCAAATGTACCTCTGTCACGACGGTTCACAACACCATGAACTACAACTATGCATCCTATTTATATTAGAGGCCCACAAATTTTGTTAGACGTACCATAACAATTATTATCTTTATTATGAACGTATTTATATTTTTGTCAACTGTTATTGTTCATTTTAATTTCTAGTTAGAGGTGTGTTTTTATATGTACTCTGCTATGTGTTCTATTATTATTCTGAGTAATACAATTGTTCCAATATTCTATTATGATATCGGAGCTAATGTTCTATTATGATATTCCAATATTTTGTTATAGCTTATCAATTTTGAGATTCAAATGAGCAAAAGAATAGGTAGAAACCAAGAAAATTGAGAAATTAGAAAGGGTTGTTTCCATCCAACTTTTTTCATTCAAAATTTCTTAGTATTTTATACGAAAGCGGCCCTAAAAGAAATATACTAAGGGAGAAATGTAAATGAACCCTTACCGTTGGCATTGGTAGAAAACTTGTGAGCAACCACAAAAGAAAGACTCCCTTAGCCTTGGCCTTCTAAACTAAAAATGATTTTGATATTCAGACTTACGAAGTGTACATGACCAATTCATAGAAAATGCTAAAACAATTAAGAAAAACATCATATAAAATTTCTTCTAAATGAAACAAATTGAAAACATTACTCAAACCTGAAAAGGAAGAGATAGCAGCTTTACATCTTCAAACTTTAGGCCGATGGACTGTCACTACAACAAATCAAAAAAAATATAGAGTGAAGCCAATAATGGTAAATAAGCATGAATTAAAAGAATCTCAAAACGAAACAGCAGCAAAAATAGGCAAGAGCTTCAATGCATATCACAATAGAAAACAGCAAATAAGATTTGACTGACATATAATAACCTGGACTTACATCTTCTCTGTTTGGATCGCACACAGAGATGCGATAGCACCCGGTTCCTGGCGTCTATGGCTTCTTCTTTCGCTTCATCTTCGCAGCCAACCTCTTCAATTTTGGCAGTCTCGATCTGATAATGTAATGCAAGGAGCGGCGGGGAGGAGCGGCGCTGTGAAAGAGCTGGAGGCGGAAGCACGCCACGCGGAAGGTAAGGGAGAAGAGCTGAGCGCTAGGGCCGAAAGAAGACTAAAAAAAGTGTAAATTCCATATAACATTCCCTGGATCGTTTTATAGTTGTTACATACGGAGTACTACGTATTAAATAGAGAGTATTACTAATATAGTTTCTAATTACTCCCTCCGTCTCTAAACGGATTACAATTTTTTTCCCTCTCCTCTTGATAACTTTTGTTTGTTTACGCAATTTCATTAAGTATTTGAAATATCAAAGTATACATGAAAGACGATTACTAATGCACATAAAGATGGGCCATTATGTACGACTAGACAAGTCGTGTATAATGATATTTTTGATGTGCCGAAGTTCAAAGCATTGAAAGTAACACTACAAAGCCACGTTTGAACCCAAATTTTAAAACTTTTATAACTACCATGAAAGTTGGGCACAGTATTTGAGCGCTAAAATGGAGCGAAATAATTTGTTCAAGAAAATAGTAATAACTTTATGTTTCCAAACAGATTCAAAAGGGCATTGGATATGACTTTATCACAAAGATTTAAAATAAAAATGAAATTCTTTTAAAGAAATGTATGATTGAATTCAGAGAACATTTATCAAAACTTTGAACTAAAATTATACAGAGTATTTGATTAAATCTTTGGTAATCAATGCTTAATCCCCTTAAATTCCAGTACTTCAATTAAAAGAAAAGTAATCCATATTTTACATCTAATTACATTGAAAAATCTTCTATGTAACTAAATCAGAGCATTGAATCAACGGAACAATGGCATACAAACATCAAACACCAATTTAAAGCTAGAAAGTCTTAGTCTATCATGGAGAGATATATGGATGTAAAGAATTTATAAAAAAAAGTTCAAATAGAATTGAAAAAGTAATATAAGTTCATCTAATTTTCTTAGATCTGACAATGGAAGGGGCACACAAATGAAAATGTGGTTGATTACCAAAAATATCCACCGCCGACTACTTTTCCAAGCGTTCTGTAACCCTCCATCGCTTATGATTTGTTCTATATCTGCTCACCATCAGAGCTCTATAAGATGAGAATATTGTATGCAATAAGAAGATCGGACGTTTTGGGGGAAGCGAAAGAACAAATATGAGGTTTTGACGGCATGGGAAGAGTAGATTTGAGGTTTTGACGGTGTTGGAGCTCGGAAGAGCAAATCTAAGGTTTTGACGACAACGGAAGAGCAAATTTGACGGCGGCAGAAGAGTAGATTTAGCGATGACTTGGCAATGAAAGCACGAGGTCGGTGGAGGAGCGGCGGAGGGGCATAACGTCGGAAGAGAAAAAAAATAGAAAGTGAAGAAGAACGATGAATTGAAGAGTACTCTGGGAAGAAATTTATCAGGAGAGGAAAAAGAATAGTAAGCATAAGGTGATAAGAGAAAAAAGGGTAGATCTAGGAAAAGGAAAAAGAGAGAAATGATAATTGAAAGAGAAATGTGGTGGTTGAGCTGGAGAAGAAAGACATTTCCAAAATATTGCCAAATACTACGTACTCTGTAATAAATGAAAAGAATAGTGCAAAAAATGTAAAGAAAATTTGGGGACTAACTTTTTTTGGGGTAAAATTTGGGGACAGACTAATAACCAAATACTCCCTAATACAAAGAAAAATGTAGATAAATGAATTACTCCTTATGTTCTAAAATGTTTTACATTTTATGCAAAATTAAACGAAATTTTAAGTTTTTTAAATTCATTTTGTTTAAAGATTTGTATAAAAATTAAAAATAAAACTTACACATTTTAAAACTATGTCATACAAAATATTAAATGGCAAGAATAATTTTTTTATCAAATAACCAATCAAAACACACAAATAATCAGCAATTTCCGTGACTTTTGAACATTGAATATTACTACCGCCGTCTGAGAGTATTTGTCCACTTTCATTTTTACACATCATCCAATACACTTCTTTAATCAATTTTATTTTGTAATTTGTATATTAAAAAATTATAGAAATTACATATTAATAATCTATATATTAAGATAAATCAAATAAAATCACACATGACTATATTTAGGCTTACACATTGAGAGAATTTGATGAGTCAAAGTGCTTAGATGAACAATTCCAAAAGTCAAAACTGAACGAATACTCCGGAACGGATGGAGTATAACTTTTTTTTATACGAAGGAAGTATATTCTAAATGTGAAAGATGGATAGAAAAAATCATGAATATATTTTGTGAAGTAGGCTTCATTTAGCATCAACATTAGAACTTAGTGCTTGGAAAAGATTAACTGGCATTAGCGTATAGTGTTAACGTTTTTGGAGTTGAGCTACATTGTTAAAATTTTATCCAAAACGCTAATGCTAATTGAAAATGCTATTTCAAAACAAGGCCGTAGTTTATTTTATGAGAAAGTCTAATTGGTTTTTCCTTCATAATTGATTTACGATGTAGTTTATTTTGTAAGAAAGTTATTTTTTTACTAAGTTTTGTGAGTTATTTATTTGGAAATGCGCAAGTGGGAAAAAAGTTGGATCCTTCGAATAAATTGATTGTATCTATGAAATGATATAAAGTATATTCCGTATATCGTACTCCCTCCGTCCTAAAACTTTCTTCCCAGAGCACTATTCCAACTTCACGGAAACTTATATTTATTTGTGTTTTTTCATGGCCTATATGATAAAATAAAATATTCTTGTCACCACTTGTTTTGTTGAACTTTTGATGTAGTTTTTAAATATGTATGTTTTATTTTTTATTTCTATACCAATATTTAAATAAAATAGATAGAAAAAACTTGGGATTTTTCTTCGTTTTGCGCAACGGGAAGAAAGATATAGGACGGAGGGAGTATTATTTTTTATAGTATGATCTCATTGAAAGATACTCTTTACTTTTTTATAGTATTTTTTATAGTATTATTTTTAATATCTCTAATGTAAATATATTGCATTGTGTAACACTTAATTCTTATTCTCTTTCTATTACGGAGAAGATGAGAGTAATGTGTTATTTGAAAGTGATGGTGGTAAAAATGTTGGGCACGAAATATCTTCGAATATCTTCGAATATCACAAAGAATGTTGGTTACGAAGTACTCCAGAATATTTACATCCTTTTTAGTATAATTTTTCTTTAATTATTTTCAACATTTATATGTAATGCTTTAAATCTTGACAAATGGATTAAATAATATGTTTTTTTTATGCTTTCTCTATATAATTTCCTATTTTTTAAATATGCAATTTCTAAATTAATTACACTTAAACCATACACTTAACAAGTAACCAATTTTTTATTTTTCAATGTAAGACTTTTGGTCATTATTAAGTAGTCATTATTCAAGTAAATGTCTAGCATTAATGAACATTATTCTTCCCACCAGGTCATTATTAAGTCCTATTTAAGGAATAAAAAAATTTAAATCCTACATTGAGAAAGTCATTATGTTTTAGTCTTATTTAGTGCAAATTTTACTTTGTAGATCTTTTTATATAGTTTTTTAATATGTAATTTTTATTTTACAATTCTACATCATTTTTAATATAAAATGATTTGAAAATATAACAATCATTCCTGAGCCACAATCACAAGCTTGAGCTTCTGGTTGAGTTGGTTCCTTGACATGATATCGGATCCTTGATGACCAAGAGGTCACGAGTTCGAAACTCACCACTACCCAGTTTAAAAAAATTAAGGTTTCAATAAATTCAGTCAAACCTCGTAACACGTAATGTAAAATTTATTTGTGGACAAAGGGTGTATTAGAAATCAAAGTTAAATCTATTCCATGAAACTCCGATGGGAGAAAGACCCAAATAGGACTAAAACATTGAAGAAATACCAAAATAGGACTTCCATGTTTTTATTCCCAAAATAGGACTTACATTACCAAACATGGTCATATACATTACCAAAAACGTATAGTAATGTGCACATGTACACTGTCACATTACCACAATGCAAAGTCACATTACCACAGTGCAAAGTCTTATTTCGGGGAAAAAAACATGAAAGTCCTATTTTGGTACTTTTCTCCATGTTTTAGTCCTATTTAGGGTGATTTCTAAACTCCGATCTACTCCGTATGTATTTGCCAGCTTCCTAGAGCAGACCGAGATACTACCTCCGTCCCATTGTCTTTGTCCAGTTTTGACTTTTGGAACTGTTCATCTAAACACTTTGACTCATCAAATTCTCTCAATGTGTAAGCCTAAAAATAGTCATGTGTGATCTTGTTTGATTCGTCTTAACATATAGATTATTAATATATAATTTTTATAATTTTTTAATATACAAATTACAAAATAAAATGGATTAAAGAAATGCATTGGATGGTGTGCTAAAAGGTAAGTGGACAAAGATAGTGGGACGGAGCTATAAATGTAATAAACAATAAATTAGTATTGAAATAAACAATGTGTAACGAATAAAGAAACAATAAATTAGTATTGAAATAAACAATGTAATAAACAATAAATTAGTATTGAAATAATTTGTTACATTTATAGCTTCGTTAAACAATTTGTTTATTTCATGTCGTATATAAAGAAGCATCTCAAATTACCAATGTAAATCTTTGAACACATAGAGAAGATCACCGGAAGGGGATGGTATCTTTCTCCATATTTACACCCTTATATGTTATCATTATAGAAGCTGCAATGGGGTGGGGTGGGTTGCTTCAAATGGTTCCATGACCTTTGGACCGGATTACTTTAGCTACTATAAATCTGAGATAGCAGAGCTACTATCCCAAGATGATGATTTTCTGCCTTCTTTGCCTCTTCAAGATTCTGCCTCAGCTAAAGTTGTGAATGGGTATAAGACTAGTGAAAAGAAGCATAATAGTGCAAGTTCTTCTTCCTTGTTTTATGTTTGCATTAGTCCCGAGGTCTATGAGTTAAAAAGGGAAAAGCTGAAATCTCTACTTCGCCGTAGTGTTTTTTCTCTTTCATACTCCCTATGTCCCTCATAGATCTTCTCAATAGTCCTTTTTCTTTTGTCCACAATAGATCTTCTCATTTCATTTTTTAACAATTAAAATACCACAACTACCCCCACTTTATTTATTACACCTCACCCACCCATTTTCATTAAGGGTATTATGGTAAACTTTTACCCTTTTTTCAACTCTCCTTAAAAACCACCAAAAGTCAAAATGAAAACATCTTAGGTGGACGGAGGGAGTATGATGAATGACTTCTCTTTGCTATATTATGCACATTGTGTTGTTTACTAAGTTTGAGTCCACTGCATACAAATTTGAGATAAACTCACCTCTGGAGAATCTTTTTTTGTGGTGAGTTAGGGACAATTTAACATTGTATGGAACCTTTGGTGAATTGTAGTGTGCCCTCCCACTTGACGGTTTGGGACAATGTGTGAGACTTCTCACCTCTACATGATGCTTTTGAGGCAAGTTAGGCCGAATGAACAGTGTATGGGTCTCATGGTGGTTTGTGCGGCGTCCTCCTGTGCAATGGTTTGGGTTAGCCCTTTTGGGGCTTGCTTTAAATGATGATTTCTTATAATATTTTTCCCCAAAGTAATTCTCAATAAGCAAAAAAATTCTAACATGGTCTTTTATAATTAAGATGTGTTTTCTAAATAGTTCTATATAAAAAATTAAAAATTCCTATTAAATGACACTTAAATAGAGGATAGATGGTATTTTGATACTCTTTATTATTTAAACTATGAATAAGTCATCAAAATGATTATTTTAAATTAAGTGGGAGGCTACTAATAATTAATAATTACCCATGTGATCCTTTATAATTTATTTTTATTCTATAAATGGTCCTTTTCCTAAAATGTCTATTAAATGTCAAACAATTAGAAGATATTTCAATATTATATTTTCTATCATCTAAGCTTAAAGTATGTTCTCGAAATGTTTCTCTAAAAATTAGTACTCCGTATATTTCTAAACGGATACTCCCTCCGCCCTAAAACCATCATCTCGTTTGTGTCTGTGAAGATTGACCGACTTTATTTTCAATTTATTTGATTGTAGGTGCAAAGTTAAAAAAAATAGAATATACATATTTTAAAACTACATTAAAAATTTTACAAAACGAGAGGTAACAAAACTAAATTATTTACATTGAACTCTATAAATAATAACTGAAAAGATAGTTTTAGAACGATATAATTTTTAACATTTTTTCTCAAACAAACCTTGTCAGTTGTCAATACCGATTGAAAAATAAATACTGGGATATATATAAACGGGTTTTTGGACACCTTGCCCAATTTTGGGTCCAGCCGTAGCCATTGCCATCTCGACTCGATCATCGGTGATATTGAAAACCAATCGCTCCCAACTTGCTTTCTCTTCGTAGCCTGTACTGAAAAATCATTCGCTCCTCGCCGTTATTTTCGTTGGCAGCCGCAAAAGGGGAGGTAAACGTAAATAGTATCGTTATTAGTCAGATTTTGATAACTAGGTTTATGTTTGATTTCATATAGAGGTAGATTAATTAATCTATGGTGATTTTTTTTCCATTAACGTTCTGCAATGTATATGTGCGTAAGTGCGTTTGACGCCACTTTGGACAACGCAGATTTCTTTCTGGGTCTTATCAGATCTCTTATTTCGTCTTTTAACCTGACATGCTGCAGTTAATCTTTCTTTGCATCATGGATGCCACCAAGCTTCAAGAAGATTACCCCATTGCTACACCAGAATATGTCATGAAGCTTCTAAAAGATTACCCCGTTACTACACCAGAACATGTCAAGGAGCTTCAAAAAGCTTGCCCCTATGTCTCACTACAAGATGTGGTAAACTGTATCCTCAATTTTGGCCCACATATGGCGACCCGTATGTTTGATTCTTCTATTCATGATATCAATAACAGTCGAGAAAACGAAGAGCTAAATGGCAGAGTACATGTCAATGCTGGCCCTTTACTTCATGTGCATTCAGTGCATGTAAAACCAAAAATTAATAAACAACTTGCTGTATATGGTAGGATTCGGGTTTGTTTTCAAAATATCAAGAGTGGAAAACGAATGAAGCTTGATCTTTACAAACGAAGGGCCAACGATGCTGAGAGAATTAGCTCATGTGGTGGTAATTTAACTCTTAGTTGGCCCCTTAATTATCCGTGGACAAAATTGCAAGGAACAACTATAGTAGTTAAACTCTATCATAAAATTGGGAGGAAGGGTGTTCTGTTTGCTAAAGAGGATATTTTTGTGGGTGATGCAACCAGAGGTAATTTTGAAGAACTGATATCTAAGGAATTCCATTATGAAGTTTGCTGCGCTACCTTGACTTATATTGCAATGCCATTTGCTGCTCTTTCCCGAGTGGATGTTAGATTATCTGGCAAAGAGAAGGGCCGAGTTGTTAATGTTGCTGGAAAAATTGTTGCGCGGTTTAAGAACACTTATGGAAACTATGATTCAGAAGGGTGCGTTCTTTTTGAAAAGCAGGATGGCTTTGAACCAGTAGTGATGAATAATGAACTTTGTATGTCGAGAGCATGGTTGGGGTTGCCAGCATATTCGTCACTTGAACTTGATCTGGACTTGAGGGACTATGACACATGCAGAAAGATTAAAAGAAGAGTAGAGTTGTTGACTGGAAATGGTGCACATGCAAGTGAATATGCAGAGGCTGCAGATGATTTTGCGATTGTTGTTGATGCAAGATTGTTTCCTTACCCATTGATTGTGCAGCCTGGGTGGAGAGATTATGACGCATTCGAGGCAATTTGTCGTCCAAAGGTAATAACTCTATGCAAAATGAAGTCCAGCATGGCTTAAGCCACTAAATTATAATTTATAAAACACTATACACACACACACACACAGGAGTAATAAAAATATTACCTGAAATGAAGGTTTCATTTTAGTTCATGTTCATCTTGTTTTCTATTGCTAACACTACAGACACATTGTTGAAAGGCAACACATTAGAGTAAGATAACAGTGCATTAGTTTGATGTATTTAATTTGACAACTTCACTCTTTATCTAACATTTTGGCATTTCTATTCAGTTTGGATTTGGAACGTCAACATCCATCAGTCTCAACCATTGGTTTGTGATTCTTCCATTTATGCACTTTCAATATCTTAGCCTAGCCACTTTTTAAAATGTTTATTGGTTTGTAATTTTATTTTTTTCAATTAGGTTTAGTTATAAAGGTCAACCAAGAGCGGGCGTTGAAAATTGCTGGCACTGTTGAATTCTCGTCTGATAATAATACTTACTACATATTCAAGAGTAATGGTAAAGATGGCGTGAAAGTAGAAGATCCACAAAAGGTTTTGCCATTGAAAGGTGTGTGTATGAAGTTTGATCTGAAAGGCATGCTCAAATTGAAGGTCAATCTGCAAGATGTTAGTGGGAAATTTGCGAATAGAGGTTTTGCTAATTATGATCTTGGAGCCTCCATCTGTACTCTACCTTATAACACCCAAATATGTTCTGTTTTTCCTGGCAAAGATGGGTTTTGTGCATTGCATTACTCTTTTTTCCCAAGAGCTTGTCAAGCTAGCATCGAGATCATTTTAAAGATTAAGAGTTTTCATTTCGGAGTTGATAGGATCTATGGAAGTGCAATGGCGCAATATAGCAACTTTGACTACTCAACTGAGTTCAAGAGAGATTATTTTCGAAGCGTGCTTTTTAGAAGGACTAAGAAGGATCCGGTACAATTGAAGAATGATGGAAAAGTACCACTTTCTCGAAATGTCGTTGCGGTTCCAATGGATTCGTCCCTTGTTATTGAAGTAGATTTTTGTGGTGTGTCTATGAAAGATCATCTATTTTGCAATGGAAGGTTCGAGATTGGACATTGCTACTTTAAAGAAGAGACAAATGATTATGATCTTCAGATCAAGTTGACTTGGGGTGATGGTAAGTAATTATATATATTTAATTATACTTTACGTAAAAGTGATTTTGAAATGTTTTTATTGTTTCATATGTTCAAAGAAGTTTTGGTTATTAATTGAATCAAGGATCTAATAGAAGCATCCTTTCTGCTATCATTCACGATTGGTCTGCTCTCTCTGAGATTTGGTCTGTCTGTATGACTATGAAGCTGTCTGTATGACTATGAAGCAATATTTGACAACAAACAACAAAGCAATAACAATAATAATGAGAAAATACAAGATAAAGATTCATTCCCCAACATATTAGGTTTGGGGTTGATAATTTTATTGTTATTGTCGATGCAGGATTGCACAATGGATGGAGTGAACTAGACGAAGACAAGGTAATTCATTTTTTATATGTAATAAATTTGTGCAAAAAGAAGTGAACATGTGTTTTGACATAAAATTGTAGAACACAATGCTGTAAAGAATAATAATAATGCGACTATAGGAGTAATAAAATATAACGGGAAATGTACATGAATACTCCTAAGTGTGGACTGTTTACACACACATCTAGAATAATATTGCGCAAGAATACTTCCAAGGGATAACCCATGTCACAAAAAAGCTCCAATGATAGCGAAGTTCATTCTTTCATTACGTCTATGCTGATATGGCTATTTTGTTTATTTCAACCCACTGACTTGGCCACATTCTCAGAGCATTTTATACATGAGTTTTGAGAGTGCTATTGTAAGACTGTCCAAATTGCAGAGTATTCGATTTGGTGCTGATGAAGAGTCGAATCAGTGTAGACATAATAGAGGATGAACTGAATTATCTTTGGAGCATTTTATGTGACACAGATTATGAAATGATCTGTTGGGAGCATGGTTGTCAAGTCCTGTTCAGCTCAGCTCAGCCACTGCCCCTCTGATCACCTGATCCGCTGATCAGCATCTGATCAGCTGTTTAGTATTAATCATAACTTTAAAAATTGTAATATATATAGATGTAATTGGGTTGTTCTTATATATATATAAATATACAGTTTTATGGTATTGGTTTCGTTTAAATACAAATTTCTAAGCACATAAAGTCAAAAAAGAGTACATAACAAGCAAATATCCTTCAATCTTGAAAAATAACACACCAAGAAAGATAATTAACAAGAGCCTAGAACGCTTAAAATATTAAAATAAGAAATACAAAACCAAAATATCAATTAAATTCAGAAAAAAATTGAAAAATTAAACTGAAAATAAAATTGAAATACTTTATTGAAAAATTAAACTGAAAAAACTAAAATATTAAAAAAATAAAAAAAACTGAAAACTTTAAAGTATATCATACTTTATTGTTTAATGAATCAAATCAATGAAAATTAAATTTTAATTTTTCAGTTTAAGATTTCAATTTTTTAAAAGAAAAAATTAATGATAACATCCGACTATTTCAAGTGTATCATCCGACAATTTCAGTTTAAGAAAAAAATTAAAAGAAATACTTTAATGATAACAAACTATAAGAAAACTTAGAGTCGCTGGAAGATAATCGGATGGTTGATAGTCGCTGCCTCGCTGGTGGCCTGGAAGTCACGGTCGCGGAAGGAACGCCGGAACTGGAAGACGACTCGATTGTGTGCGGATTGCGTCGCAGGAGGCAGCCGAAGGTGCGTTTTGTTAAAAAATTTTAAAATTAATGAAATTTGGGTCGGGTCAGGTCGGGTCACTAGGTCAAATTCTGCGGATTTCTTTCTCCGACTAGGCGTGGCCTAGTCGCGGCTATGCGTCGCCTAGCGCGCTTAGAAGCCTAGTCGGCCATAGGCGCTGGTCGCCCAGCATTTCTCCTTCTCCAAAACGACCGGACGACTAGTCGCCGACTAGTCGACGCCTAGGCGACGACTTGACAACCATGGTTGGGAGCATTATTGTGCATATTTTTTTAGGAGTATTTTGGATATATTTTTCTCCGAAGGTCCAAATTTTGTAGTAATTTGTTAAACAAATTACATTTGCTCTTTTCTGTACCCTGATGTTACAATTGGTTGCCTCTCTTGGTCTGTCTATATTTTGACTTGAAAGAAATTATTTGACGGCAATGCGATAAAAATAGTCTTGGAAGAATGCAAGATAAAGAGTCCCCTTGCTCAATATATTGGGTTTGGTTTTGATGATTTTTTTCGTCATCGTTGATGCAGGGTTGCAGGATGGGTGGAGCAAATCAGATGAGCACAAGGTTATTCAGTCTTTAATGGTAATACATATTCACATGCAATACAAAGTCTAACTTGATCTAGTCATATAATTACATGGAGTAGAATCATAATTAAAACCAACGAGTTTGATGTATTCAATACTGTTAACTTTAGACCACAATTGCTGTACTCAACAGTAAAAAAGGTGAAATAAAACTTTGTTACCACCTGTGTGAGAATTTGATGGTTAAAAACATTGTAACATTTCGCAGGGTTGGTAAGTCTTGAGTCTTGACAATCATTTCATTGTCTTCATCTAGAAGTAACTTTCCATTTTATGAAGTTCCGAGCATCAAGGGAATCAATCAGGATTGCATACTTCTTAGACTCTCAAGACCTCGTTGAGTTGGGATGATTATACCAGGGTTGCTTTTGTTGTAATTTTGTATTTCAAAATAAAATGAAGCAATAAATGCACTTTTTTGTTACTTTGTCTTCTGTACAAAAATTAAGGTATTGATTTGTTGGGTTGTGATTGAACCTATGATGGCCTTTTCTTGGTTCTAATTCTTTTATTTGCCTTTTCAAGCATCAAGCGTAAACAACCTGATCAGCGCACTGGGGGGAGTGATTTCGACGAATATGAGGTAAGTTTGTTGGTCGGCTCTCGTCTGCCTATATTTTGACTAAAGAGAATTTTTAATATTCAAAGCAATGACAATAATCTTGGAAAAATGTTAGATAAAGAATTAACAGCAATTTCAAAAAAAAAGCATAAACACAAAAATTTTGTGGTCAAATCACTGTTACGATTCTCTGTGTTCTCTAATATATAGAGAAGAAACCAACTTAATTTTTATAAATCAACACAACTATTTCAATATAGGATAACTACCAGAAACTACCCATAATTGTTTTATTATTATTATTATTCCGTATTATTATTACTCCGTATTATTATTATTATTATTATTATTATTATTAGTACTATTAGTACTAGTCTTCTTCTTCTACTACTACTACTACTACTACTACTACTACCATTATTATCTATGAAGCACAGGTGCGGGTGCGTCAATCAGTGCGCAAGTGGGAAATATTCAAAAAATGGTGTGCGGGTGTAGGTGTGGCAATGGGCGCGGGAAATTTCTTTATATATTCCTTATTTGTATTAATATTTATTTGAAAAATACATGTATTTATTGTCAAAATATCCACAAAAGATAACAATTATCTTAATTTTAGATAAGTAAGTCTCATCACACCCAAAATTTGGCCCAAACAGGCCCAAATGATTAAATCCTAGACTTGGTATAAATTGTCCCAACTCTTAGCATTCCTTTTCTTCCTAATTATCCGCCACCCTCCTAAATGGCGACTCCTCTGGTAATGTCCATATCAAAGAGCGACATCACAGAGGGAATGATCTCTGGCAGATCCATTGTATCTTCTTCTCTCTCGGCGATGCCGCAATAGGAAACAAACCTAAGGTTCAGTCGGCATACCCATTGCGCATGCGACGCGCACCCAGGAGCACCGCCGCACCAGAAATCGCATGGTACTTCGTGCGTGTGTGTTTTGCCGCACTGGTGCTTCATAGATTGTTATTATTAACGGAGTATTATTGTTACTACTACTACTACAACTTTGTATTATTGTTGTTGCTGTTGTTCATTGAAAAGTAATAGTTCTAAATCATCAAAGTGAAGAGGATTGAAACCCTTCTGATGTATCGATGAGTTCTTTAGCTGGGGAAACCCTCGAGGGGGTGTATCATCATAATGTGAACTTTAAACCAGACTTGCACCTGCTGCTCTAAGATTTTCAAACTCTTTCGGGCTGTTAGGATCACTTAGTGGGCTAATAAGAGTACCTGGAACCAAGTTAGGCGAATTTGGGCTGCTTGAGCTAGATGACTAACTGTTCTCCAATTGGCTAACAGATTTAGTTGCTGGATCACGCCCAATCTGTGCTATTGGGCGAGGTATGAAGTGTGCTCCCACTAGTCTAAGTTGATCCCTGATGAATCACACAAGCTTCATTTTTAACAACAAATTCAGCTTTGCTTTCGTTTTCTTTTGTCTCCATATCTTTAGTGCAGTCCAATGGTTTGCTTTCTTCGGATTGGACATCCATGCTAACACATAATCTTTTATTCCATGGGTTGTAAAGCTTTTATGCTTTACTTCTCGCTTCGCTCCCAGGATGTACCGTTGACTCGCTCCTGTCAATTTTGTTAGTTTGGCTATCAGTACTTTGACGTGGGCTGTACTTCCAAACACCATTCAGTGTTCCAACTTCCAAATTGGGCTTTCGTCTTTTCAAGGCTTCATACGGGGTCTCTTCTTTTCCTAGGCTTTTGGCAGTGTCCTGTTCAAGATGTAGAAAACATGTCATACGTCTTCTCCCCACAACAATGGCTTTCAACATAGATCTTGTGGTTTTCAAAACATCTGCTTTTGGTGTTCAACCACACCATTCTGTTGTGGTGTATATGGTGCAGTTAATTACCGATTTATGCCATTTTTGTTACATGGTGTTCAAACTTTGTCGAGACAAACTCTCCTCCACGATTGGTAACCACTTTCTTACATTGTTACCAACGTGTCAACATGGTCAGGAATATAATGAACATTGGTGATGAGCCTCTTATTGCCATTCTTACATTGCAAAAAAAAGACCCTTTGCCTTCGATTTCAACTGTGGAACCATCTCCAAACTTCACACTTCCAACAATCTTTTCATTGAGTGATTGCTAGCACCGTCATCCAAATACCATGTGCCTTCCTTGCTGTTGTTGTTTGCATATTCATTAGGAAACAGTTTCCTCTCATCCAGCATCTTCAAATACTGTACATTCTTTATCATTAGGGAAGTGGGTTTTTCATCATCTTTTACACAGATTAGCTTCACCAGGGATTCTTTTAAGAGCCGGACACTAAGTTGAACAGTGACCAAGTTATTCACAGTCATAACAACGCAGGCTCTTTCGTTCACATTTACCTCCTTGTTCATCTTGTTCATGACCACTAGATCTGCCACCCCCACGAACTCAGCCCCTGTGATCACAACATCCTGTTCACGACCCCTGCCGGCTTGTCTTGACTTGGTTTTCTTTTGCAAAGGTGAAACCCAGAGAAAGGGTACAAATTCAGAATGAACTAGCTAAGAAGGTTCGACCAGTCAGGGAATTTTGTGACAGTGGGAGCACAGGTCGTGCTTCAGTCCCAATTTGAGAATTCCGGCGTCGAAAGTTTCTCCTGATAACTATTTGCTTGGTTTGGAGAATGCAGGTTCTCAGTTTGTCTTAGAAGCCATGAGAGTGATAGATGTGTCACACTCAGAGCTGGCAGAGAAAGAGAACGAGTCACGGGTTGTAAGTGGGAGATTCAACGGACTTTCAGATAACTGAAGAGAAGGCCGCTTCAACTAGTGGTAAATGAAGATTATAAGAGTTACAGATGATGAAGACTAAGGGGCGTTGTTCGAGCCTTTAAGTGGGAGATTGTTGGGCGAATTAAGTGTGGAGGCTCGACCAAGAAGGGCAGCCGGCCCTAGTCTTGGTTCGAACCATATGGCAGTTAATTAGGTTTTTAATTTAGCTGGCCCTAATTCTCTATATGGGCTTGGGCGTAACTTGGGATTAAGTTTTTAACCCTAGTTTAGTCTTCATAAATAGCGATCTCTGTACTTGTAATTTTGTGAGCATCTGAATAATTATAACCCTAGTTGTAAAGTGGATTATTTCAGCCGACCAAACCACCATAAATCTTGTGTTTCGTTTTCTCCGTTTTGTGTGTGTTCTTGTTTGGTTGTGGTTTGCTATTCATAGATACCCCAACATGAGTAACTAAGAGGCAACAAACACAAACCATGAGATGCTTCCTGATGAGCTCTTATTCATGGATGATTAATGATTAATGAATCATGAGTCACGGGCTAAAGACATGGATATGAAACTTGAAACAATTTTTCTTTTTTGCTTTATTTACTTTGAGACTCTAAGTTGTATTGTTTTTGAAACTTTTTGTTGCTTAATGTTGGTATCAATGTACTCTTTAATTACTTATTTCATGCTACGTGCTTTTAAATTAGTACCTATAAAATTATTAAGGTCGCCATAGCCCACTCGCCCAGGAGATGCTAAATCGCCTATGCGATATGAAGGTGCTCTAGGGCTCAACCTCCCCTAGCCGCCGTAACAACTATATATGTTTACACACACTCCCTCCGTCCACTAGCCCCCCCCCCTCCCAAGTTGCCAGGTGACAAGCAATTCGCCACCTCCAAAACGACCGAATAACTAGTCGGTGACTAGTCGACGACTTAACAACCATGATACAAAGCACACAATAACAAGTACAAGAAACTACCCCCTAGCCCAAGGCGCCTATCCAACACAACTATTTGAATATAGGAAAACTAATGGAAACTACGAATAATTTTTTATTTAATCATCATCATTTATTATTATTATTATTATTTTAACTAAATTCTTAACCTGAATTAACCAACAAAAAATCCCGTTTCATTGCACATTGTATTGGGTTTGCTCTTGATGATTTTGTTACCGTGGTTGCAGGATTGCAGGATGGGTGAAGTGAATCAGACGAACACAAGGTAATACAATCTTTAGTTGTACTCCGTAATATACATGCACCGGCGAGTTAGTCATAACATTACACAGTGAAATAATAATTAAAATGAATAAATTTGGTGTATTCAAGCATTCTATAGTTAACTTTAAACCTCAATTGTTGTACTCAACAGTCAAGAAAATTGATTCCATTCGTGAGAATGTGGTGGATAACAATATAGCATATCACAGGATTGGTAGCTCGTGAGTCTTGATAGTTAGTCCATGATGTTCATTTGATAATAAAATGGACTAATACAAAGTGGTACATAGTTGTTCATTCTTACATTTTATGAAGTTCCAAGCATTAAGGGCTTATTAGGTTGCGGGATGGGGGAAAGTGAATCCCTCTCCTTGTTTGTTTAAAAAAGTTCAGAGGGGACCCTAAATCTCTCTCCAATTCCCTTCTTTTCCCTCCAAATCAGAGGGTTTGTTCTTCTCTCTCTTCTTCAGCTTCTTTTTTGTGTCCCCATGCATTGTCTTCTCCCTTCTTGCTTCATCTCCTCCTTTCTTTATTTCCTCCATCTCCTCTTCTCTACCTCGTTCCCTTTTCTCGTTCGCATCTCTGTCCCCGTAACCGAACAAGGGGAGTGGCTCCCCACCCCCACTAAACATGCCTTAAATGAATCTAGGGTTGCATACTTCTTGACCCCCAAGACCTCATTGAGTTGGGATTATTCAAGGGTTATTTTTGTTTTGTATTTAAAAACAAAAGGAAGGTATAGATGCACTTGCTTTTCTTGCCTCGTGGAGTAATTTTTTGGGCAGTTACTGACTCTATGTGGACCTTCTCTTGTTGCTAATCTTTCTTATTTGCTAGCCATTTTTCAGACAATCCGTCTCGCTAAAGCAACCTGATCAGTGCACTGGATGTAGTGATCATAGGCGAAGATGAGGTAATTCCTTCTTCAAATGCAACAAAGTTGTGCAAAAAGTAGTCAAACATGAATTAAGACATAAAATTATTGAACACTAAGCAGTGAAGGTAAATAATACGAGTAAATAACAATTAATGCTGAACGTACAACAATACTCCCATGTTTGGACTGTTTTACACAAGAATACTCCCTAGAGATAACTCATGTCGCAAAAAAGCTCCGATAACAAAGTTCACCCTTCACTTCAGTTGGAAGATGGTCCCAACTGTAGAGTATTGCTTTATATTTTTATTCTCCTTTTATGACTTTACATAGAATAATTGACTTTGAAATTGTGTTTGATTGCTGTTTAGGAATTATAACGAAAGTCCGAGATTCATAGGCATCTTAAAAGAGGAAGAGAGGGGGATAGATTATGTCTTGGCTAGTGTAGAAAATGCTTTGAAATTGTGGTTGATCAATACGGTGGTATAAATATGACGCAGGAGGAGCGAGCCTAATCAATATAAACGTAACAAAGGATAAACTACGTTGTTTTTTGATCAATTTTGTGACTATTTGATAGTATTATTGTTTTGGGAGTGTATTTTGAGTGTTTTAGTTAGGAAGTTGGAGTGCATTCTAGTACATTTTTTCAAACATTAACAAATTACATTTACAGGTGTTACCGTACTATGCTTTCGTGTTAGTGGCTACTGCTATGAACACGCCCTCGTCAATGCCCTTTGCTGTTTCTCCTGATTGATTGAAAGAAGTATAAAAATCAAAAACTCGGTCTGCATGGACGGGTTGCAATTGTAATTAAACCCTTGCCTACCCAAGGTTTAACGCGTTTTGAATTTATTACTCTAAATTATGACATCGTGTGTAAGTTATGACATTGTGCGACTATTATCCCTATTGTGCTTTGATGTCCTCTTATATCCAAACATTTTCCATTCAATGTTTCCACTATTAACTACTGCTCCCTAAATTATTGGTTTGAATCTTTTCCAATTAATATTTGATGAATTTTGTTCACTGTCATTATCTCAATGTCAAAATTATTTACGTTTTCACGTTTTTAGCTATTGTAAATGAGTGATGCTCTGTTGCTACAACTCTCGTTAACCCTTTAAGTGTCAAGTCTTCTGCATATATGCCCTTACAATTACCATGATATGCTTAAACCAATACGATTATATATAATTACCGCCGCCACCGTATACAGCGGTAGCATCCCATCTAAATTTCTCCAGCAAAAACAAACCATCCTCAGCGCAACAACCAATGAAGTTTCTCAACTGATGCTAGTGGATCCAACAATTGCTACAAAACTTATTCAATCAACAAATTTGCAACTCTCCTGCTACTAGATCAGAATTGGATTTTTTTTCACCACCAATTCTTAATCCATCTTTTCTCTCTCAATCCCTCATTCTTATTTATAATCCCCTTTCTTTTTCACTTCAGTGCAAAAATACTCAAAATAATTCATTTCCATATTTTTCTATTTCCTTATTATATTTGTTACTATATTTCTTATCCTACTTGGATTGGAACTCTCATCATATGTGATCTCTATAAAATTGGATGTATCCTTAAATATTTAATAAGAACAATTATTATCAAATTGTGTCATGGCGTCGGAGCTAAGGTTTTCCAAAATCTAGTCCTTCCTTTTTTTGACTGAGCACATTGCCGGTCTCTATTCATGGCAGTCGACAATACGACACCATGACCTCACGGACCGATCTTGACGAGTGTGCCTAAAAGCCTTCGTCCATTATCCCTCTCCTTTTCTCCAAAAAAAATCAATTATCTCTCTCTCCAAAAAAATTCAGTTTCTCTCTTCCAAACAGGTTATGTGCGTGATCGAAGAACGGAAAAGATGCATTTGCCTGTGTGTTTTAGAAATCAAGAGCATAGAAAGTGATAGAGAAGTAGAGAACGGCCCAAAAAGAGAGAAAAATGAAACCCCTCGCCTTCGCTCCAATTATCAACACTCTCGCTTGAAAAAAAACTTAGCAAACGTAATCTCAAACTCGTTCGGTATACAACAAAAATCTATTTCTCTACTTCTAGATGCTATCCTCATAAAATTGCTTCAACTGGCTCAATTCGAGCAGTTGTGTTCCAAGCTGTTCCTCGTTACCGATGATCAACTTGCGGGAGAATATTAAGAATAATAGATTTATTGGAAAATAGAATATTACCTCCTCCGTCCCAAAAAGTTTTACATATTTTGACTAAAGTGGAAATTAAATGAGAGATAATTTTGTATTGACTTTCCAAAAATAACCTTGATTTGATGTATAAAAGTAGGATGTGATGTGTAGATTCTTCTTCTTCTTCGATTCTTCATTTCTATTCTTCTTCTACTAGTACTTCTTTTTCTTCCTCTTCTCCACCCTTTCGATTTGTCCTTTCTATTCTTCTTCGTCGTCAAATATGAGAAAACTGATTCAGATCTGTGAATCGACGAAGAATCGTCTTCAAATCTTTTTCATCTTCATCTTCTTCGGGGTCGATGAGGAAATCTGATTCAAATTTTTTTCATCTTATTCATCTTCTTCGAGTCACCGGAATTTTACACTGGCCGGAATTCGCCGAGATTTGATCGCCGGAATTTCTCTCTCGAATGGGGTTGGACTGCAGGAATTTGGGATAGGCCTCAACAGTCCATACTCAAAATCTTAACTTTTATTAAACTCCGTGCTGGGTCAAAGCAGGAACTTTAAATGTGGACGAAGAGAGTAATTAGTAGAGAAATTTACTTAAATAGGACTAAAACATAATGACTTTTCAAATATAGGACTATAAGTTTTTTTCCCAAGGACTTTTAGTCATTATCAAATAGTCATTATTCAAGTAAATGTCTATCATTACTGGACATTTTTCCTTCCACTAGGTCATTATTAAGTCCTATTTAGGGAATAAAAAGTTTAGGTCCTACAATAGGAAAGTTATTATGTTTTAGTTCTATTTAGTGCAAATTTCACTAAATATAATATATATAAATAAAAACATAAATATATTAGAAAAAATAATTTTTTTTACCAATGATAGGATGCTCGGAGACGTCAACCCAAGCCGACGCCAATATGCACTCCCCTCCGGCGTCCACTTTTTGATTGACCGTGCCGCCTCGGTCATCGTGGCTTTGGCTTTGTGGCTCTTCCGGCGTGTACTTTTTTCGACCCGGTCGCTTTCAGTTGAATCTCCGGAACCGAATCTCGCTCGACGTACACCGATTGTTTTGTCTCGTAGATCGGCGGTATATCACCCAACTCTTGGTAAAAAAAATTTATTTTGAATTTTGAGGTGCAACGGCTAAAAAAGCCGTTAGGGGGGAGGGGGAGACGAATGATGCAGCGTTATTCGTTTGACGCAGTGCTCCTCACGCCCCGATAACGCCGGCAGGGGCGGTGTTTAACACCTCCGGGGCGTTAAACGCCATGTAACGCTGGTGGGTGTGAGGAGTGTACCCAGTGCTCTAAATAGGTTGAATCAAAATTAATTAAAAAAACATGCGTTGTACAAAAAAATTTCAATTCACACAAGGGTCAAATATGTCTACTCGAACAAAAATACAAAATAGTAGAGTGCATTTAACAATAATGGAGTGCATTTATCAATTTCTCAAAAATATCTCTTTCTTAAATCCTCAAAAAGTCAAAAAGAGAAGTTTATTTAGGGAAAGAGGGAGTATGTTTTAGTTTAGTGCTATTTAGTACAAATTTCACTATTAATATTCTCATTTTATCCATTAATTATTATCAATAGTGTACTTTATTTCACTTTTTACAATAACACAATGATAAATATGGAAAGTGAATATATCTTTTTTCTACGGAGTATATTTTTAATTTAAGTGTAAAGGCTAAGTGAGAAATAATTTTTGGATTTGGATAGACGAATAAATGGAATTATTATGATGAATATACTGTATATTTTTCTTATTTTTGTTCCTTATTTGTACACCAAAGGTATGCACTAACATTATGGTGGCTTACACTGACACAAAATGTTGATATGTTAACAAAAATAACATTACACCAATACAAAATATTGATGCATCCTTGCATTCTACAAAATGAGATACAAGTTTTTAAAGTAGAAATAGTTTTATACTCCATACGTCCCCATAGGTATTCTCATTAGCTTTTTTTATTTGTCCCACATAGATTTTCTCATTACTTTTTTTTAATAATTAAAATATCACAACTACTTCCACTTACTCTATTTATTACACATTTTCCACCTATTCAATACACCCCACCATTTTTATTAAGGGTATTTTGGTAAATTTTTACTTTTTTCAACTCTTTTTAAAAACCGTAAAAGGTCAAAACGAGAATATACAATTGACGCTATTAGATTTCATTAATAGCGTAATATACAATTTTAATAAAATTTACAATAATTAAAATTAATACTATTAATTTGACACAGTAATTAACATTTAATTACTATAATTAATTTGACACGATAATTTAAACACGGAAATAGTTTTATAATCCCTCCGTCCCTTAATAGATTGCAATTTTTTTCTCTTCTCGATAAGTTTTGTTTGTTTACGCGATTTTATTAAGTATTTGATAAAATAAAGTATTCTTGTCACCTCTTGTTTTGTAGAAATTTTGGCATAGTTTTTTAATATGTAATTTTTATATCTTATTGATATACCAATTTGTAAATAAAATAATTTCAAAAGGTAGAAAATTTTAGTCCGTAATCCGTAATTTGTAATCAAATTGAAGACGGAATGAGTATTTATTAGTGCTACTACGAAATACGGAGTACTCCGTACTATTTACGGGAGGGTAGTTTACTGCACAGCTGACAACATCTGCATGACTTCTTTTGATTTCCAGCAGCACAACAGTATAGTGGGGTTAGAATGTTAGTGGAGTATATATTTTTCCTATTTTTTAATTTAAGTGTAAAGGCTAGAGATGGATACGGTACGGTTCCGGGACGATTTCAATTCTGGAACCGTCGGTGCGATGGCGGCGGGGAGCAGAAGAAAAGAAAAAAAAAGAAATGTGGTCAAATTGAAAATTTTAAAATATATAAAATTCTAATTTGGTCCAAATGACTGAAACTTAACCTAGAAACGGACAAATGGACTTTTACAGAAAGGATTGTGTAAGTTTAGGGATTTTTGTGAAAGGATTTGAAGTTTAGGTACCACTTCGAAATAATAATTTTCATTTTGGTAATTTTTTCTCTATACCATATTATCATGGAAAATTTACCTAAATAGTATTAAAATATAATGATTTCTCTCAATATAGTTGATGGTGTAAATTACTTGACCGGTCAAACTATACTAGACCGGGTCTAGAATAGTTCGCTTGATTCGGCAAAGTAAGAAAGGTAAAAACACGCAGATTGACCGGTAGGACTTTAGGTTGAACACCTGTAGCCCAATTTGTATTATAACGGAGAATACACAGGTGCTTTTACAAGGGAGTTTAGAGAAAATGAATTCGGGATCCCTACTTCTGAGAGTTACAGTCGTATTTATACTAGGTTTGGGGGGAGAGGCCCACGTGCGCCCACGTGGGGGCATGCTGCTGATGTGGTGCGAGGTGACTGGTTTCGTCCTCGAGCTGCCTTGTCGCCATGTGAGGGGGATCATTTCCTTTGTCGAGTAGCGCCTTGGATGGATTCTTTAGCATCTCTAGTTGTCCTCTACTGACACGGGTCGCTACACGCCAAGCCCTCGCAGATACTCCTCTGCCGACACTTTCCAACCCCAGAAACTTCACCGGGTAACCTCCAAGAGATGAATTTATCGAAGTCTGGAATAAATAGGATGATAACGTAGTTTGACCGGTATACTTTTTTGTGAAGTGTACCGGTCATATTTTGGCCGATGATATATCGTTTTGCTGACGATTTAAGTCTCCCTTCCAAAACTTTCGAGATTGACCGGTCAAAGATTTGGCCTTCTCCTTTAACCAGTCTTGGGTGAAATACACCCATCAATAAGCCCTCCACTTCTCGGTCATGCAATTTGTCATGAGCGGGAAGTAAAAAGTCTGAAATAGGACTCGAATTTTGAAATTTTGGCCCTTCCCGCCTAAAATTTTTGAAATTTGAGATTTCAAACTCTGACTTTTGCCACGTGTCGCGCATCAACCGTTGCAATCAATCGGCCGCAGACCTGCCGTTTCGCGTGCCAGTGGGTCATCATTGCGCTGCCTGACGCGGCGCAACCTGGAGAGGCCACGTCACTTCTCTCAGCCCTCCACGTCACTTCTCTCAGCCCTCCTCTTCCTATATAAGGGCCTACACTCGGCATCCTGTACTTAATGTTTTTAGTTTGTTTTGCAGACATGGAGTTTGAAGAGTTCGCTATTCCTTTCGAAGTTCCGCTGTACCAATACCCAACCGGGGTATTTCTTTTTTTTTTTTTTTTTTTTGACCGGTAGGTTGTAGATGGAGCACCTGTAACCTAGTAATTTCTTGAAGTATCCTTAACCGGTAAGAATACTGGAGATTTAACCATGTTCGAATGATTTCGAACCCTCTCCAAGGTTCAAATGCACCCTTCTTCCAGGGCCCCCTCTTCCGGGTGATTAAG